ATCTGATCACGGGACTATTATCTACAAAGATCATCCAGCCCTCTACCTCTCCATGAGCCAGCTCAATCATCATTATTGTGAAGAAATATGGGGTGGATATCAGGCTGTGTATTGATTATCGGTTGGTGAATGACCCAGCTTATGGTCTACCCTATCCCTCTAACCAACGAATTGTTGGAGGATCCGAACGGAGCATTGTGGTCTGCTCCCTGTACATAGCAAGTGGTTTTTGGGTCGTCGGCATGACCCAAAGGGCGAGAAGGATCTCGGCTTTTGTCACCCCATTTGGAGTTGTTTGAATGGTTGCGGATGCCGTTTGGACTCAAGAATGTGCCTCACATATATCAGAGACTCTTCGCTAATGGTTTGTATGGGTTTTTACGTATCTCTCAAGGAGTGGATACAGAGGAGACTGAAAACTTGTTTACGATGAGGAAGCCTGATGTAAAGTCAGGTCTCTCGGTACTGGTCGGTGGTCTTACATAGATGACATTCTGATACCAGCCGACTGGTGGGATACGTTGTGCGAAAAGGTAGAGCGGCTATTAGATGTGTGTGACTAACGGAACTTATCGATCAGCGCGGTCAAGAGTTCATGGGGGTGCCGGAAGGTAGACTACCTTGGGCAGCGGGTCTCGGGCCAAGGACTAGAGGTCCACCCAAAGTACCTCCAGTCCCTGGTAGACCTACCGTTGCCAACGACACTCAAAGTTATGCAATCGTTTTGGAAGTCTGAATTGCTATAGTAGATTCATTGAAGATTATGCAGTGTATGCATCGATCCTATATGAGCTACGGGAAGTGGATTTTTACGATTGGCGATGTAAGTTGAGGACGGGGGCCAGTGGGGTGGCTAAGGCAGAAGACGAAGAGAAGTCGTTTAGGATCCAAGTAGCCTTTGCAATGCTCAATATTAAGATTGCCACGGCACCTATATTTCGACACTTTGACCCGTCCAGGGAGGCAGTAATTATCGTTTATGCAAGTGGCTCGGCCATATCCGCGTCGTTGGTGGAAGACCATGGTGGCGTTCTAATGACAGTGATTTTTACGAGTCGGACCCTTAAGGCCAACTAATTAAACTACAGTACGGTGGAGAAAGAAGTGCTGGCCTTATTACGGATATTGGAAACTTATTATACGATGTTGGTCACTCGAACCCTCAAGATCCTGACGAGGCATTCTACATTGTCGTGGCTAGTCAGGTCTGCGGGTTTACAGGGAAGTCTTGGTAACTGGACTGCCCTCTTGTCCCAATGGACTATGGAAATAGTTAATTGCAAGAAAGGCAAGGACCACATATTGGGGGCGCAAGCAGCCATCAGTCCTCCTCGCAAAAGTGTGGATTCGATTTTATCGTCAATTGCCTCCAAGAAACAGGCGCGGCAAGTAGTTGATCTCCCTACACCAACTGTGGAGCCTGACAAAGAGTTATACGTCATGAGTTTTGATTGGCCAGCCCCAGTGAAACAGGGAGGTGGAGCATGTAGCGCTATTATATGGAGATTACCTGATTGGACCATAGTCAAGGCTGCTTCAAAGTTCCTTGTTACATCTACAGTGGATGAGGCCGAGTATGAGGGTATGCAACTGGGTTCTGACCTGTTAGAGCCTCCAGAACGACGGCAATTAATTATCTGTGGAGATTCCAACTTGGTGGTACGACAAATGCGGGGAGAGATCGAATGTAAGGCTTCAGGATTGTCCCCATTACAAGCAAGAGCTTTGAATTAGCTGCTGTCGTGGACTACCTAAAAGATCGTGCATGTAAGACGTGATTGGAATCAGAGTGCCGACCAATTGGCCAGCACAGCTCTACGAAGGAAGGTATGAAGTCGATACCGGAAGGGGAATGGCCAAATTTGGAAGAGATTAATCGATTGCCAGAGTTACTATTGTCCAAGGACCATCGGCTAAGGTGCTTGCGGTGACTCGATCTCGAGCTTCCATCAAGTGTCAGGGGAAATCCGGCAAAAGGGTGGGATACAACGACTCCGGACAGATCGATCAGGGAGGTATAAGAGCAAGAGGACTGGGTGCGAGATTTAAAGGCTTACTTGAAGGGATATTGGGTCGACCTATCCTTGGAGACTGCTCACTCGTGCTGTAAGATGGCCAGGGACCACGAGATAAGGGAAGAGGGCCTACAATTGTATTGTCCCGGTCAGAGGGTCGAGGGAGATGACCGAGAGGTAACGGCCAGACTAGTGATACCCGCAAGTCTCCAAGCCGACGTCCTGCATCACTACCACACCAGTCTGGAAGGAGTTCACCAAGGGGTCGGACGTACCTATCACCGAATCCGACGGTACTGCCATTGAGAGGTTTATTCCGAAGCGTACAGAGGCATGTGGGGACATGTGTGAATGGCGAGACAGGGAAAGGAGGACCTACCCTGCAGGGCAAGACTCCAGGGAATGTCGAAGCAACATACCCTTTTCAGATCATAGTGATGGATCATATTCCCTCTCTGCCCAGGTCGCACAGAGGAAATACCGAGCTACTGATTGGGTCGACTTGTTCACGGGGTATGTGATGGCCAAGGCTATTTCGTCGCGAACGGCCCAGAAGGTAGCTGAAGGGTACGAAGAATGCGTGTTTCGGAGTTTTGGTGCTAGCGAGGTAATTCGCCACGATCGAGAACCAGGATTTATACCAGATTTCTTTCGGGCGTTTAGTCGCATGGTGGGCCAGCGTCAACAGGCGACCATGGCCTATCAACCACAGGCAAATGGGACCGCGGAGAGAATGGTTCAGACCTTGACTAGGTCCATCAAGATGTATGTCCATGATGTCGGGAGTGCAACCCGTCAGCTGACGGGTACACAAGGTGAGAGAAGGTCTTTACGCGGCATCGGGGTACCTCCTCCGACAGTCGGCAGTCCGGCACAGTGAGTGACTTGGGGTCTCATTACGCAGTTTTGAGGCCAACCCACTCCACCACAAAGGCAATTGTGCCTTTACGTGCTCGACTAGAGCTTTATTATACTCTTCAAGCATATGAATACGCTTGCTAACCTCTTCTTCACCTTAGGCGATGAGGCATTCGACGCCCTTATTGCCAAGGATAGGGAGCAGCTTCTGCAGCCCTTCCTGTTGTGCCTGTGACAGGCCAACCGCTGACGTCTCTTCAATGGCCATTCTCACACAGATTTGTAGTCGCAGACCCAGGTGCGGGATTGACTACGAGTGCTACCAGGTGTAGCCAATCTACTTATGCACTATGTGCAGAGGAAGACAAGCTCAAAGAGCTTATATGTCTTTGAGTTCTTAATCAGTTTAAGGCTAGCTTCACAAGCTTATGCCTATCGGTACTAACAACCGAGTCTCAGAGAGACTAGTATCAACGATATTGATTTCTTCTAGAAGCAGAGAACGCTCAAGCAGTGATCCTTACAGAGCAGGTTTGAAACTGATTTATTTATATTTATCTTCTAGCACTAAATATAGCAGCACCTAATCTATACTTAGTGCTAGTCACTATTTACCTGGCTCTGTAGCCTATTACGATTATGCAAACATGTATGGTCACTTTGCTTAATAATATACTTAGTTAAGTATAGTGACCACGTACGATGCGACCCTTCGTACCTTAGTACGGTCACATCGAGCCTACTCTTGTACCCAAGGTACAGCCACACCACAGTGTGGCAGGTGTGTATGTAAAAATACACACCTTTGTGTAACCCCGTTACATGTAGTGATTAGAGCCATGTATGTATATGATGATACCGAGCCAGAAGTAAATATGGCCATGAATAAGTTTGGCCTGCGGCGGACTAGCGTTTTCGTCAGACATGAAGTCAGCCAGCGACCGTATGCACAAGGTTCGCGATAGAATATGAAAGCTGCCTTGTGGCTCAGGAACCATTTCGAGCCAGCATCAATAAGCTACAACAGTGCGCGATTTACGAGTGTGGCTCAAAGTGTAGCATGGCGTCTAAGCGATATCAAAATTGCTGCTACAGACGGTAACGAGTTTGCCTAACGAAAGACCGGTAGTGTCAAGTAACCGCATAGCGTGTCTTGTTCTACTAGATCCAGCGTGCAAGTCCATTAGCGCCAGGAAGTACTGGGGTAGTCGCATTCGGCTGTGCACACTAGCTTCACCTCAAAAAACATTTGTTTTGCGCCGACGGCTAAAAACTGCTTGTCAGCGACGTTAAGCTGGGCTTGCAATACTGATCTGATCGAGCTAGCAAGCAGACACGAGCGTAAAGAACATGTTGGTCGCCATATGGTGTCTGCATTCAGAGACACCATGGTCTGAGTGTGCAGCAGTAGATTACCAAGAAGCACAATAAAAATGAAGAAGAAAAGTGCCGACGACAACAAGATTACCATCTATCAATTCTTGCATCATGCGTAGCGCAAGCTAGATGGTCTACCCGATAGATGCTAAACCAGTTCACGTTGAGCCAGATCATGCGAAAAAGCGACGGCGACCTCGACAGGACAAAATCGGACGCCCGGAAGCTTTTAGCTGCTGCAGCTTATTCCGCTTCTACATTCCACACCCCATGTGATTAGAGTAAGTTTAGTTGCAGATCATTTTGTTAGAGCAAAAGCGGATACACTAGCACCTTTGATAACACCTTCATATTAAACTTGGACAAACGTAATACACCAACCACATATTTCCTATCTCCAACACTTTTCTAACCCGCAATCTATTTATCTTTTCCTAGCACTAAATAAGCTCAAGCACTACGTAAATGTGGGCTATCTAACTCTAATTCACTCGAATTATTCTATTTCCTAAGCTAATCGAGAATTGTCATTATATAATATGAAGAATAAAAATACTCAATTAAAGAAAACTGATCCAAAAGCAAAAGAATCGTCTAAAAAATGTCGATCGAATGTTGTTAAATCTACAAAATACATGTGGACCAAAAAAATGGAGTAAACGACCTAATATATGTATCCAAAATTCTTGTGGTTTTAAGCGAATCCTTCGCCAGTAATTATTTGCCACCCCTTTAAGCTTTTCGAAAACCATGACAGCTTCGACAACAATTGCCCGTCCAACTGGCGAGACTTTACGTGGTAAACAGAAAGAAAAAGATGTGCGTATGTCCAATATTATCGCGGCAAAAGGTTCGTTCCTATGGGAAAATTAACAACAAGAATAACAAGAACTTCACGTAATACCATTTGTATTTTGTACGAAACTTTATTTCTAATTTCATTTTTCTATTTCTATTTTTATGTAATCTATTGTAGCAATAGCAAACGCTATTCGTACCAGTTTAGGACCACGTGGAATGGATAAAATGATTCAACAAAGTAATGGAGAAGTTATGATTTCGAATGATGGAGCCACAATATTGAGTCAAATGCAAGTGTATCATCCAACGGCTAAAATGCTTGTGGATTTATCGAAATCTCAGGATATTGAGGCTGGAGACGGTACAACGAGTGTCTGTGTCATTGCTGGTGCCCTGCTCAGTGCCTGTGAAAATCTCTTAATGAAGGGCATTCATCCGACAAACATTTCGGAGGCATTTGGTCTTGCTGCCGTCAAGGCAGAGGAAATTTTAACCGAAATTTCTAGACCTGTAGAACTTGCAAACCGTGAGGAGCTTATTAATTGCGTTAATACGTCGCTATCTTCTAAGGTGATTTCAGAGTACGCGGACCGATTGTCTCCTATTGCCGTGGACGCTGTGCTTCAAGTCATTGATATTACAACAGCTGTTAATGTTGATTTGAACAAAGTGCGTGTGAATAAGCAACTGGGAGGCACGATTGATGACTCGGAACTTGTGGAAGGACTTGTGTTTAGCAAGGGTTTTGACAAGACAGCCAGTGGCTCGGGTCCTACTACCATTGAGAACGCCAAAATAGCACTGATTCAATTCTGTCTATCGGCGCCAAAAGCGGACATGGAGAGCAATGTGGTTATAAATGATTACGCTGCAATGGATCGCATTCTGCGTGAGGAGCGCAAGTACATACTAAATCTTTGCAAGAAAGTGAAAAAATCAGGCGCTAACGTGCTGCTTATCCAGAAAAGCATCCTACGTGATGCTACCAATGACTTGTCGCTGCACTTTTTAGCCAAGATGGGCATTCACGTTATCACGGACATTGAGCGCAATGACATTGAGCACATTGCTACGACACTGGGATGCCTGCCTGTGGCTAACATCGAGTATTTGACTCCGGAGAAATTGGGCACGGCAGGTCTGGTGCAGGAAGAGACGGTGGGCGGTCACAAGGTCGTCAAGATTACAGAGATTGTCAATCCAGGAAAGACCGTGTCAATACTTGTGCGCGGTTCCAATAAACTGGTTCTTGAGGAAGCCGAACGATCGCTACACGATGCTCTGTGTGTAGTCCGCTCGTTGGTCAAGAAGCGCTTCTTGATCTGCGGTGGTGGTGCGCCTGAAATCCAGGTGGCTCAGAAGCTGGCTGCTTATGGCCGCACGCTAGAAGGCACCGCTAGTTACTGTTTGCAGTCCTTTGCCGATGCGATGGAGGTCATACCGTATACGCTCGCAGAAAACGCTGGCCTTCACCCGATTGGTATCGTCACGGAGCTGCGTGCGAAGCACGCAAAAGGGCACACGAGCACAGGTATTAACGTCCGCAAGGGAGCTATTGGCGATATGTATGAGCTCAATGTGCTGCAGCCTCTTCTGGTGAATACTAGTCAGATCTCGCTTGCTACCGAGTGCGTTCGCATGATCCTTAAGATTGACGACATCGTGATGGTTCGGTAAACAGTTGGCTGGTCACGGAGCTATTGGTTTTGTACTCCTTTGATTGCAAGCATGGCTGCTTTTCTATGAGCCGGTGAATGTAATGGCGGTCAACAGCTTGTGATGAAAAGTTTCCAATCAGAATGTATTTCTGTGCGCGTTTGTTACCGAGACAGCTTCTTAACAAGTATTGTGGTTGCCATCTACGTTTTCTCTGCTTATAGAATACGTGTCCGTCTTTGCTTTTCTAGCCGTCCTTCATTCAGCCAACTACTGCTGCCATTTTGGTCCTTTCATGTGAAGCCACTCACATGCAGACTAAGCGGTATTTGATGGTTTGATGGCGAGGCTGGCGCCATGGGGTTACAGTACCATTATCATCAAGCGCAGGTTAACCAGCTCGTACAGCACATAAATTCCTCAGGCAGCGTCGATACTTCGTTTAGGATGACCCCTATACTGGTAGCTCAAAGCAAATCGAGCAGCAACCGACAACGCAGACATTACCAATTGAATCAATTCATCTATCTTCAGTGCTTTAACTCGACACGGATCACAACGGATTTACGAAAGGCATATACATCGCTTGCACTCGGTTCAGTCAACATTTTTAGTTGTACGTACATGCCCAGACATTTGAGACAGCAACTAGTGGAACCACTTCATTCGATTACGCTGAAAACAGCGACCTCACCAAGCTTTTGATATTTCTATCAAGTGCGACAAAACGCCATATGTACTTGTTGACTGCTCGTCTAGTAAACACAGTCACAACATCTCCTAACGTTTTACAAAGACCAGTCTCAAAGCATGTAAGACGAACAGTTTTTTAGCGAAACTTAACGATTAGATGACACACAGCAACAAGACGGCGAGACGGTTGGCTACATTCATTGTCACAAGGAAAGGAAAACACTTGCTGTGATTCATGAAACGGCTCCTTCATTCATGCTTACACCGATGGTGGTAAAGGCAAGTGGTTGATGTTGTTGAGCACCATGGCACGGTATGTTTGTGTTTTGTGGTCGAAATCAATGACGTTCACGCACGTATTGTCTTGATGAATCTCCGTCATGTCGGTCAAACCACTATGTAGCATGTGAGCTAATATAATTTTGTTAAAGCGGCCATGCGCAACCATAAGCACTTGTCCTTTAAGTGGGGTGTTGCTCACGACCTCAGTAATCTTTTTCACTCCACGATGCACCACGTCCATTGGACTCTCACCACCAGGCCAAGAAGCGTCTAATTCACCCTTCTTCCACCTCATATACATGGTGTGAATTTCATCTTCGTGTGTCTCTATCGAATCACCCTCAAGTTCACCAAAATTCATCTCCTCTACTTCACTGAAAGTCTGAACCTTAATTTGAGGATGAAATTGAGCAACCTCATCTGCCGTCTCAAACGCTCGCTTTAACGAGCTACTGTAGATACCACTGAGTGGTACGTCCTTCATCGCAATTGCTAAATACTTGGCTTGATGCAGACCTATGTTGTTTAATTGGATATTAACACCTCGACCTTGAAGCTTACGTTGGTAGTTATAATCTATAATAGAATCATCAGTACAGTAAAAACAAGTTCATCACGACATCACAGAGGTAGAATACGTATTGACAGCACCTTATCATTTTTTATACATAACATCCTGTCATGCTCACCTGTTTGACCATGACGACATAGAAATAATCGTGAACATCCTTCTGATATCGGCGGTAATTGCAGTGTGATAATACTGGCTACTGGATTATCAATCAAATGATGCTGTTGCTCACACATGGTACTTTGCTCATGATGCAAAGCCATTCTAGATCGTAGATCGTAGTTCTATGGTAGTGAAGGTGAAGATGAAGGACAAAGGTAATAATAGTAGGTGGAAATAACAAAGAATGACGTTGCGAGTGCACGAATTAATGTGTTTTTTTTTGAGAAAATTGATCAAATACTTGAACTAAGAGCTGATCTTTGCATCAGCTTCTGAGGATGAAAGAGTGATCTGCGAAGGATGCCGTCTGTGACATGTTTAGTAGCGCTTGTCCTGCATGGAGGACGGGGGATGGCCAGAGAGTAGGTGGCGTAGGTTCTAGACCAATTACAAAACAATACGACCAACTGTAGCGAATGAACTATCGACACAATCAAGTGGAGATATCATGACATCGAACCATCCGACTAACCATACGAAAGGAAAACATATGTCAAGTGTCGAAGATAGCAACAGATGTAATGGCTTGATTATGGGAGAAAGTGAAATTTCTACGTATTGACAACGACACCTTTAGAGTGAATGGGACTATGATATATAAAAACACTCATTCACACATAACAGTTTTTGTATTGCTTTGTGTACATTGGTAATTGAAGGTTGATAAAAGTCAAAAAAAATGTAACAACTACGAGGGATTCCAATCTATAGCGTTACAATGGATATATCCTTTTCCGACAAAGTATATGGGCTTAATCGCTCTCGGTTACGTCTCTTCTTGACAAGCACAAGTCCTACAAAAGCAAGGACGCAACACGCTACGACAACTGCAATATTAATTGAGGCCCCGATTGCTCCTATTGCATTTGGTTCTTTAGCCGATGCCGATAGAGCTAAGTCATTCTTGGATGGAGATATCGGCTCGACTTGAACTGTCGCTTCATTCATATTTCCGCCATTGTTGTTTTCGAGAAAAACACACCCCCAATTGTTGGTAGATTGCAACACACACGTTGCATCAACGGGTGCGACGCAACCAGTCAAGAAGCTTCGGGATTTAGGAGTACAGTTATCAATTGCAGCAGTTTCTTTTTTAGGACAAGCACCGAATATCCTTTGGCCGTTTTGTATTGCACCACATACTACTCCTTCGATACAATAGGTAGCTTCGTCTTTAACAGAAACACGATTGCAATTAGTCTTTTGGTCATCAAACGATACAAGATGGCGTTGTGTAGATGGAGTCGTCATGCTTGACATCGAGTGAGAAAATACTTGCACTTTTCCCGTCTTATTTGGCAATGAACGGCAGGGGTAGCACAGCATTTTTGATATTGTTTTTATTTACTTTTTGTTCCTGTCTGGTCCAGGTTCAGATCAGAAACTGCTCGCAGTCGCCAGCGATTTGCTAACCAGATAGTAGCTCCCTGCAATAATTATGCTAAGCTGATCCGCTTTTCTTATCAGTACTGCTAAACCCTGTGTGATCTAATACTCTGTAAATATTGCAATACATGAAAGAAAAGAGGTTAGCTGAATTTAGATATTTTTTCAACTTGTTCATGTTAATCTCGAGCACTTGCAATTTCTTCGTATGAAGCTATTGATGTTATAAAATCATGTCGATCAACAAATCCTTCCTAGCATTTCCTACAATGATCCGTAATCTTTCGTCGCTATCTTCATCGTCGTCGCATTTACTCTTGACTGCATACTATTAAATACGAAACGCCTTGTTTCACTACGACTGTTGTTTTCATTGTGATGTAAGAGTAGAAAAAACTGCAACAAAGTTGAATGCATTGGAGTGACATTCAAGACAAATGTAATCGACAAGAAAACCTCGAGCAAATCCATTCGTGTTCAATCAAAAACCTCCGACTCAAACGCTCCTGTACGTATCTTGGAGAAAAGATGTGCAACTGCAGCACGAGTGACCAGAAATTATCGTGGCTGCAGCTGCTCGAGCAGAACCTTGGACAATTTTAATCTCCCGGGACGATTTGTTCTCCCGAAAGTTTTTTGGACTAGACACGCAGTTACTTACACGTATTAGCGAGCAAAATCGACACGAAGATTTTTGGTATGTTATAGTGGACTTGCACATAGCGATGAGTGATTCATCTTAGCAAGTGTACAATTGAGACTCAACTTTTATATATTGAAAAGCTACTACATTGAGCAAGAGAGTAGAAGATGTGTTGACGTCGTTTGTAAAAAGCGCTTACTGCCATGTTGGATTAAAACATTGGTAACGATATCGTTAGCTAGTGCTTATTGTAATTCACCATCATACTCGTGCTTAGGCACGATTAAAGACGTCCAGATTGTTTTAGCATCATAAGACATCATTTGTTGACATGTAACGGGTCCACAACGACTCCACAATGGAGATAACAGCGATCCTCATGTTCTCAAAAGCGTTAAAGGCAAGGATATGAGGTTGTGTTCTAATAGAACTTAGTAGTGATGCAGTTTCGGCTGCTTTCAATACTTTCAAGTTGGTTTTTGGTGTGGGAAAACGCGACGTAAGAAACAGAAACAATCATCTGCGGTCGAGCAAGATTCACCAGAAGCAGAACTCGTTACCTACTAATAGTTTTTGTCTTTTCTTGACGCTAGACCAGAACCAGTTCCGGGACAAGCTTTGACGACATTTACGCCTTGGAACCCCCCCCACTTGAATTCTCAGAATAAGCGTGAGGGAATAGTGTTTTGATACTGCCTTTAAGGCTACATGAGTGCCGAGCCATCCTTAGGCTTCATTTAGAGATACTGCAGATGTGCATCTAGAAAAATCTTTGACCGAAGGTGAGGCGTTAACGCGTTCAACTTCTATACGGCAACCCGAAAGAGATCCGCCTACATACAGTTTCTGATCCATTTGATGATCTCATAACGGGACAAGTCATCGCAAATATCTAGTATCTTCTCCTTCAATGTCACAAGCACTGGTGCACAGTACCACGTAACTACATGGGGTTACCAGGTATACGAGGGTGCAAGGCAGCAGGGCCTTCTTCAAGGCCACTACTGATTGTAAAAAAGAGTCAATTACTGTTCAAACCATTCGACTTCGTTTTGGTCCTCAACAGTACGGACGGTGTTAACTCAGTGATATTCCGACTATCAGATGCACTCTCATTCCAAACTCTTGCAAGTTGACGCCATCATGTTCACAGGCGTCAGTGACCTATGCCACTTGGACTAATCGAGCAGCTTTTAAGTGTATAGAAGTAGCTTTTGACATGTGCATTGCGCTGGTGTCGAGGTTTCGTGAATTAAAGTGATGTAGAAAACTTGGTGCTATTCCATGTTGAAACATTCAGAATGACTTCCGATTGAGTTAGCGTATCCTTGAATAAGGTGTCGTAACAGAAGCACAGTTGAACGTGAGAGTACTAGGTCGAGACTGCTTACTGATCAGCTGTCTAGAGTGAGTTGACAAGGTTTCAAGGTTTGTAATTCAAATGATGTATTGCATACATGTTAATCGTCTATAGGCTTTGGAGCGTTGTTATGCTGGTCACGTCGTGCATATTGACTTTCACAGTAGAATCAATTGCAAGTCTCAAGAGCAGTTGGAACACGCTCAGCTCGAGTTTTTACAATCTAATGAGCTTGTTCCACACTCGTGCACATGCAACAATATCTAAGCAAGCAACACGGACATTAGTGAACTGTGCGACAAGGTAGCCAAGTTACTGACGTTCATGATACATCCAAGATAACGTCGGAAATATGACGTGCTCGTTACCATCATAATGATGTATCTACATATGATCACAGAAGCTTGTTCAGTCCGCCGTGAATATTGTTGTTAATTATTTCTAAGCGAGACATGATGCTGTTGAAGCAATAGCATCATTTATGATATGGTGAAATCCTTGACGCACCGACACATCCTTTTATTTGCCACCTTCTCTTGGCGTCACCAATTGCTCTTGAGTCCATGCACCAAAGCACAATCCCCTCGCTATTGCAAGTTTGCTCACGCTACGCCATTGACAAGCAGTCGGGCACAATGTACACGGTAAATGAAGATTAGTAACTATATAACGTACAGGTCTTACCAATGCTAATTCATCATCACCACCTCGTTTTTCCATACAAAGTTTCTAATTAAATAATACGAATAATATATCCATCTATCAACAAGACCTCACTAGCCAAATTGCTCCAAAACAAGTCGAATCAAAGATAATCATGGAAAAAGAAGACGATGCGCACGCGTTGGAAGCAATGCTAAGCTTTGTAGAAGAATACGATAGCGATGTCTTCATATCTACAGAACTTCCTGGCTTATCGGTCACACCAGACGCGTCAAATTCGCTTTCCTTTTGTCTTACCAACAAAGCTCAAACAGAATTGTTGCTACCTGTTGACGTTGAACCGTCATCGTCAAGTACTTCCCCCAATGCTAATGCTATTGACACTTCGATCTCGGTCCCAGTATCTGCTACGCAATCGGAGCTTCCAAATCGAGTTTTAACAACTTCTGAGCTTTTAAAACCACAGAATGTGACTAGAACACAGAAACCACCAGCTCATCTAAACCGTGCACGTAATGAACTTCGATTTGAATTGGCTTTTCTACGAGATAAGGTGACACAATTACAACAACAATTACAATCATTGCAACCGACTTTGCACGATAATTTGCATTATCAAGGAAAAAATGCGACTAGTCCAACAACTTCGACTTTGTCAGATAGCGTTCGATCTCGTCCGTCATCTCGAGTGCTCTGTACTTGGAAAGGAGTGGCAGATCGACAGCGACGACGACGGAAAGATGCCGAGCGTGAAAATACGCGGTTGAGACATAAGGTGGAACACCAACGGAAGGTGGCTATCGATTTGACTAAATTACTTCGGAAAAGAGCAAGTTGTTCACAGTGTTTTTGTTTTGTGATGCTTGCAGTATATATGTGTCTTTTGTCTTACAGTGGTTTGTTGTATGCTGTTTGTTTAGATGGTGGAATGTGCTGATGCTCATGATCCTAGTGTCAAAGAGAGCCGTTTTGCTCGGGTATTAGATTACCATGGCAATTTGGCTGATTTTCAGGAATTGTTTCCAATTTTGGAAGATGCCTACCAGAATTTAGATGCTGTTTTGAAAGAGACCGGTTTGGCAACTATGGATATTCCTACTGAGGATGTACACATTCGCGAAGGAGATGGAGGCAATTACCTAGAGTTTTTTGCAAACAAAGTTCTGCCGTTTGGACTGCGCGCCACAACTGAAGCTGCGTGGGACCATTTCAAAGGATTGGAGAAACATTGCGGTAATGGCGAGTTGTACGAAAAAGCAGCTATGGTAGGTTCAAGACTGGTATCAAAATTGATTCGTGTGCTGACGCTTATCTGATGTAGAATCTCAACCAGCCCTACACAATCATCGAGGATTTTACAAAGGAAGTTTATTCGAACAACTCTCGTGCAGATATGCTGATGAAGCAGATAGTGCGCCGCTATGTTGAGCCGAATCGGGATGTCGTGATTTTTGTTTGTCGAGGAAGTCCAATTGAGATCAAACACAAAGTTATCGCCGGATCGACGTACCATCTTCGAAGCTATGTCGTCACCAAAAAGGCTCCATCTTCTACTCCAGATCATGAGCTGTCACTCCTGCAGTTTTGCTCGCGGATATCAATCGACAAGGACCCTGGCGTGGCGTATGATCCGGTACATATTCGGGCGCTGACGCGGTTTTTAATCGGCAATACTGCAGGGAACATTCGATGCTACCAGCAGAGAATCGAAAACGCTTTGGTCGACCAGACTTTGCGACAACAAGTGCAATAATCAGCTATAACTGAGAGTTTTAATGCGCGCGAGTACTCTGTAGCTTCGGATTAAACTGCAAGAAGTACTTGTGACCATTTTGTTTGTCCAAGTGTATATACAAAAGGTTAAAAGGGTTGAAAAAGGCAGACGTCACCTAGGGCACTCATCTTACATCGTAACGACCGCAATTTAGACTCAACGTAGTGTCCATCAGCTATAACCATCTTCTCAAACGCAAGCATCCATCCAGATAATCGTTTCGAACGAGACCATCTATCAGCAAGAAAAATGGATTGTAGTTAGCACCAAACAAGATATAAAACTTATTGATGCCTTGGTCTAATTCTTGTGCGTCTGGACAATGCAAGTAACGCTCCTTTACTGCTTGATGCGGCACCAAACTTTATTGGTCCTTCGCGACAACTGTTGCTCTGTTTAAAAGGAGCACATGCTTCTAATTTATAATGAAGACATTGTTACCACTTGCTCATGTTAAGACAAACGCGAAGCTGTAATACCAGCCACGAAAGCAGGTTGCGCAACAGATATCGTGACAGCAGTTTTACCTGGTACCACAATGACAGAAATGTTGTCTGTGATCGATTGGTTATTGTTGCGGTAGAGAAACTAAAGGCATACTCGACAATGGTATTGAAGACATGCATGATCTCTTTTAACACCTACAAAGTGCCTATCACAAGGCCGACTTTGCCGTTGCAGTGAGCGGGCAATTGAATTTACCATGATGTTTGTGTTGGTAAAGGGAATAACAGCAAGCACGTAGAAGTGATCGCAGCGTTGCTTTCACTCAGTTTCGTAAGGTTGCATGTAGATAACAATGAGGCGCCAAGAAACGCTTTTGACACCGGGCCGGTTTGTAATAGACCTCCTAAGATTGACTTTAAAGCCTTACTAGATTCCTTGCACTCCTGCAGAGCTCAGATGTAAGAACACACATCACTTAAACAAAACGTGTTAGCAGTATTTACGTTGGGACTACAGTCTAACGCACTTGTAAATTCACTTTGCCGCAGAAATCTCGCTTCACAAAACACATCAACCAACTCAAACTCAGTAGACAGCTAACAGCTAGTGGCAACCAGCCAGGAAAACTAAAAGTAGCAGAGCATTATTGAGTCGCTCTCATCGGCAAAGTTCGATCCTTTACCGCTCGACAAATGCCCTTGTCTTGAAACACTTGCATTCATGCGCTTCTTATATGGCATGTCCGTTGATGTCGTCAAAGCAGTTCGTCTCGTCTTCTACTGCATCGGATGTAGTAATCGCATGGGAGTGCGTTGTTTTGGTCACACCGGGTGTATGAATAGCATTGGAGTAATTCGTCTCTTCCTCTTCCTCTTCTTCTACTTCTACGACTTTTTCTCTCTCACCTTTTGCTTCTGCAATAACCACCTTATGCTTTTTCACAATAACAGTAGCAGCCACCACACCAAGCACTCCAACCAAGCAACCAATGATGACAATAGGCACAGTAGCTTTGCCACTCGCGTTATAGCTCGTACTTTTCTCAGCTTCAAACTCTGCCCGTGTCGTAGCGTACGCTACTCCTACGATACTTGCAGGCTTCGTTATATGCGTTCCATTTTTGTTATTCATCGACGTTGTCGTCGTTGATGTTGATGGTAAGCCACTATGCTTTGTTGATACCGCCGTAGGAGCAAACGTTGGCTCACTGAAATTGGTCGATGGACGTATCGACTGATCCGTCAAGTTTGTCAAACCCGACGTTACACTCTTAACATTTCCCTGATTGTTCTGTGCTGCTGATGAAACTTGCATGTCAGTCTCAGGATTATTACTAGCTTGAATCGTCACGGTCAAGAATGTCATGACAAAGACTGTAACCTTCATGGTTATGCTCTTCCTTCACTACGTCTGGAGTGAGTTATGTGCACTTCAAAATGAATTGCAAAGTGAGGAGAAGTGTGTGTGCGTGTATATGTCTGTCTGTATGTGCGTGATAGGTGTTTTGCTACAAGTTTTCTTCTACCAAAGAGACTTGACGTGCATGGCAAGAGTCTTTACTATAGACGGTTGTAAGTTTACCACCATTTCGACTACGAGCCATGAATTAATTATACATCGTTGACCAGGTAAGATAAGAATTTATTGCTAGCTGTTATCATCTGGTAAATTATTAATCCATTCATTTAAACCTAAAAAACCCACATGTTTTTTTACGAATAAAAGACGTTTTATGACGTCGCACGAAAGCCAAAGGACGATCGATGATTCCTTTTGACACATTTATTCTACACCACAGGTCTGTCAACTATCCACCAATCACAGTCATAATAAAAAACACAAAGCTTTCAAGGAAGAATTAATGGTGGAGGTAACCGTACTGGATTATGGCGCTGGGAACGTGCGAAGCCTTAAGAATGCAATACGTGCAGTAGGTCATTCGGTAAAAGATGTGACATGTGCTGAAGATATTCGATTTGCTCAAGTACTTATATTTCCCGGAGTAGGTAATTATCGTGCTGCAATGCAATTTCTCAATACAAGCGGTTATGTGGATGAATTACGTGCTTATATTGCAGCAAATCGACGTTATTTGGGTATTTGTTTGGGTATGCAAACATTATTTGAAGGATCAGAAGAGTGTCCAGAATTAAAGGGACTTGGTATTATTAAAGGGAAAATAATACGCTTTCCAACGGATCATGCAGTTGTGCCACATATTGGCTGGAATGGTGTAACAGTTTGGAAGAAATCGTTATTATTTTCTTCTCTTCCTGTCACAATAGAGAATGCAAAAGTGTATTTTGTCCATTCGTTTCGAGCTCTCAAGACCGAGAAGAATGCAGATTGGGTACTTACTACAACAAATTATGGAGATTTAGACTTTGTAAGTGCTGCCCAAAAGGGAAATGTCATGGCGACACAATTTCACCCTGAAAAAAGTGGAGCAGTAGGTCTTGCTATTCTTAAAGGGTTTCTAGAGAATAAATACATGCCAGATCATGATGTGACTGTGCAGACGATGGGACCACGGACGACGTTGTCGAAACGGATCATTGCGTACGTGGTTGGAAAGTTGTCATGAAAAAAATACTGCTGTAAAGATGTTATTCTATTTGGTTATAGTGACGTGATTCTTGTTGGTGTAAAAAATTAGGTGTCTTGATGTACGGGCGAATGACCAGGGACATCTTGTGGTGACGAAAGGAGACCAGTACGACGTGCGAGAGAGCTCTAAAACTTCTAAAGGCGGCAACGTTCGCAATATGGGCAAACCTGTAGATTTGTGCAAACGATACTTTACAGAAGGAGCTGATGAGGTGACGTTTCTCAACATTACAAGCTTTCGTGAGCAGCCCATGGGAGACCTACCAATGGTTCAGGTACTGGAAGCGAGTTCTGAGTGCGTGTTCGTTCCGCTCACGATCGGTGGCGGTATCCGTGAGTACGTGGACGATCAACATAAGACTCACTCAGCACTGGATGTAGCAGCGCTGTACTTCCGCTCGGGAGCTGACAAGGTTTCTATCGGAAGCGACGCTGTGTACACGGCTGAGAAGTTTTACGCCAATGGTGGCAAGGGCGACGGATCTAGCTCCATTGAGACCATCTCCGCTGTGTATGGCAATCAGGCTGTTGTGGTGTCTATGGACCCGAAACGAGTATATGTGGCGTCATTTTACGATGAAAAAGCCAAGGACCACGGTGTCGTGAAGCTGTCGCGACCTGGGCCTAATGGCGAAGAGTACTGCTGGTACCAAATGACGGTACGTGGCGGCCGTGAGGCTCGTGATATCGACGTGGTGCAGCTGGCTCAAGCTGTCGAGGCCCTTGGCGCCGGTGAGCTATTGTTGAACTGCGTAGATATGGATGGTCAGAAGGCCGGATACGATATTGACCTGATCTCACTCGTAAAAAAGTCCGTGCGTATCCCCGTGATTGCGTCCAGTGGTGCCGGCAAGCCAAAGGACTTTACGGAAGTGTTTGAAAAGACAGACTGTGAGGCTGCGCTTGCTGCTGGTATCTTTCACCGCAAGGAGGTGGCTATTCAGGACGTTAAAGAGCAATTGCACAAAGACAGTATCAGTGTGCGTTTGTAAGTGCGTTCATTTTCTATAACGTACGAGACGATAAAATGCTGGAGCAGGATTCAAAAATGGTTTGTGGTGGCACTCTTGTGTTTACATCAAAATAGGGGTCATTTGACCTACATCTTTCACTGCGTGTGGTGTTTGCAGCTAGCTCCATTACATACATACTATCCATATTCCATGGTTCTTATTGCCACATACACGATCAATAAAACCACCTTAGAGCCAATATTAGAGCAAGACTTTGAATTCGCCTCGTGTATGTATACTTGTGTATACCCTTTTCCATTGGTCGGGATGTACTGTATAATTTAATAAATTGTCCCTTGTAATCTTTTTTGGTGCAACCTTCCTGTGACCTTTTCCTCAATACCTCGTTATTTCCGAGGGGGGAACAACGAACAAGCCGGAACGCCAGCGCGCATCGCCCGTGTCCTCTGCGTCGTCCACTCGCTGTCTCCAGGCGCATCATCCCTTTGTCTCCTCCATCACTCCACTGCAGGTGTGTGTGTGTGTGCGTGTGTCTGCCTCCCTCCCTCTCCTCATGGACTACGAATTGGTATGTCAAGTCCCAAATGAATCGCAGCCATTGATTTAACTTTGTATCAATTCAAAATGACGCGCAGAGCGACCAAGAGCTCCGTGCAAAAGAATCCGAGCTAGCAAATGGTCCGACGTTTGAGGATTTAGCGATTGACGACAGTTTAAGTGACTTGGAGCGCGTCACGAAATACGTGTGCAGTAATATTGCCCTCCAGCGTGTGATTCATGTGAAAATGCTGCATGAGACAGCACAATCTGTAGGTTTTGAGGCAACGTGTACTCAGCTCTTACCATTACTTGAGCCATTGGTGTGTGATGTTGAATACGTTGTACGGCAGCACGTTGCATTGCAATTCCCACCATTGTGTCAATTTCTCGTTAAGACAGCACCTCTAGTTGGTTATCGTGTGCTCTTAGATCAACTCATTCCATTGATTACGAAGCTTGTGTCAGACGATCAACATGAGGTCCGCTCAGCTGCAAGTGAGAGTCTTGTCGACATGGCCGCACTTGTTAAGCCAGAGGATCAAGGACAACACGTACTAACAATTGTACTGCCTTTGGCACACGACGATGACAATGAACAGTTTCGGATCTCAGCCGTTGCATTATACAACGGTCTTGCGGAACACTTTGGACCGGAATTGTGTCAACAGTTTTGTGTACCTGAACTAATTTCATTGTCTGAAGATCCAGTATTTCGAGTACGTAAATCGACGGCACTTAGTTTTTCGAATATTTGTAAGACAGCAGGAACAAAACTCAGTCGGGAGAGGTTAATACCAGCGTTTCAGCGACTGGCCAAAGATGATATATGGGGCGTGCGGAAAGCTTGTGCTGAGTGTTTGGTTAATGTTGCACTCGCGCTGGCACCACCAGACCGTGGACCGATATTGATACCAATGTTTGAGGGTTTTATAGAGGACTCGTCACGGTGGGTTCGCATGGCTGCATACCAAAGCTTGGGGCCGTTCCTGGCGGCATTGGAAAGAAGTCAGGTTACCGATGAACTAGTAAATCACTTTGTGAGCATGTCGACGACAGCAGCATCGCAGCTTGGTGGCAGTGGCGAGGTAGACATTAAACACCATTGTGCATTCAACTTTCCGGCGGTGGTAAGTATCCTGGGCGCCGCAGAGTGGCCAAAAATATCACCAGTTTTTGAGCTTCTACACAGCGACACCTACTGGAAGATTCGGCGGTCATTTGCGTACTCTTTGCACGAGCTGGCACGAATTTTAGGCCAGGGCATAACTGAAACACAACTAGCTACAGCGTTTGACAGTTATCTTCATGATGTGCAGGACGTACGTTTAGGTGTGATGCTGCACTTTGCTGACTTTTTGGAGAATGTATCTCCGTCCTTTCGTGGGAGCTATTTACCCGTGCTGGCGGAGTTTGATTCATTTGACAACACCACGAAATGGCGCTTTCGCGAAGTTTTGAGCGGACAGCTAGCGCAGCTGTGCCGCACTTTCACACCCGAGGCGACGTTTTCGGTGATACATCCACTTGTGTTTAAGCTCGTCACAGACCCGGTCGCGGTTGTGCGAGAACAGAGCTATCATGTACGCGGAATGAGTGATGTAAGGTTCTTTTTAGTGTAATTACGATGCACTGATACGTTTGTGCCACTATATGCATTATGTATAGGCATGCCCGCTGTTGGTTGCACGTTTAAGCTCGAACGCAGAGTGGTTGACTGCTATTGTTGACAAATTTGTGACTCTTGCGCACTCTTCACATTATCAAGACAGACAATGCTTTGTAAAAATTTGTGCTTCTTTTCTTGACAGAGGTGAAGTACAGGAGGACGTGGCGTTAACTGACGCTGCTCGCGAGTTTTTTACGTCCAAGCTGGCCATCGTGTTTTTTACGCTGGCAATGGATCCAGTGTCAAATGTCCGAATGGTATTTGCCGAAACAACGGTTAAACATCAACAATTGTGCCGAGATCACCCCGACTGTCCACACCCATTACGCGAAATTTTGACAACTGCGACATTCAGTAATGCTGAGGCGTTTGCTGCTATTCTGTCTAGACGAGGTAAGGAACAACTCGATGCAGATGCTAAGGAGGATACAGAGGCAAAGAGCAAAGAAGTAGTTGATGGCCTAGCAACCAGTATGGATGCTGAGAAGGAAAAGAAGGACAGTTTGAAGGCTACAGCAGATTTATCGGGGACAGTTTTGCAAGCATCTGAGGAGAAAGTGGTTAAACCTGAAGTTGCTGAAGCGAAAGACAAAGAGGAGAATCTTGAGGTAGCTGAAGCTGAAACGAATGGGGTAAAAACCGAGGTTGGCAAAGTTCCGGTGATGGATGAAGTTGCGTCTACCGAGACTTCAGCTCTTTTGCCGACCTCATCACAGGCAGCGCCGCCAGTAGAAGCTGAAACAATTGCTGATTCGGCATCGTTGGTATTAGCAAAAGAGCGTGAGCGCCATTGATGAGTGGAGAGGTGGTAATTGCTGCCTCCAAGTCGCGGACTGCCGAGTCATCCAGTTTGTCAAGTGCGAATGTAACAGAAGAGTCTTCTACTGAACCAAATCGAGAGGTGACAAGTTCTACACATAGAGACTTTGCTACTTCAAATGCGTCCAAACGTAACGTGGAAAATTGATGATGAATGAATTAGATGAAGATGACGAGGAATCTAAGAACTAGTTAGATAAAAAAAGAGCACGGGTAACTTAAGAATCAAGACGCTGTCATTTTCATTGTAATTTTATCACATATTTCCATTCGAATTGTCACGTTATAAAGTGAAATTTATGTAAAAAATATCTTAAGTCGCAAGGCAAAAATCATCACCATAAAGTTAAAGTACACACGTTTTGACACAATACGCAAATAAAAGTATCTATTTCTTTTCAGTCCATTTAACCACTAGAGCAGCAATTTCCTCTGTCGTCTTGATGGCCATTGAATCTTCTTGTGCCGTTTCACAAAAAACTGGTTGAAAAGTTCCTTGAAAAATATCGCTACAAATCTCTTCAACAGCTCGAATACCTTTAGCTGCTGTCTCAGCACCTCGACTGACGGAAAACGTCTCTAATTTTCGATTTAATAGTGGTACAAACGCTGTTACTTTCGCTTTTGCTTCATATAATGTCTTATGGTCATTATTCGGGTAAACGGAATACACACATGTCTCTTCAACTGTAGCGACTGATCGTAGTGACAAATTGGTCGATTTAAGAACAAGTCTCTTTAAATGTGGATCACATACGGTTTCTTCAAATACATATGTTGAATTACCTAAAATAGAACAAACCCAATTAGGTAAATTCGTTTGAGTTACTTTAGCCAATCGTGTTGTAATGAGTCTTCCATTCGAATCAAGTCGTCGATCCAATACATCAACACGTTCCACATGTGCAAGATGTTCATTGGGATATTTATTCCAAAAAGCACGAGTAACAACGTCCCAGTCATAAGGATAGACATATCGAGTTTCGTTAGTTACTACCATGATTGGTCTTATTATGAAGTAACAAATCGAGAGAAAATTTGAAAATATGAAGAAATGACACTTTTTTTAGTACTTTTTTGATAACTGACAAGCTTTTTGTGACCGACCGACCACACGATGGAGAAAGAGAAAATGAGGTTTTATATATAAATGTAAAACTGAACCTTTTGATTAAAAATCACCCACTTGTGTACACATAAAATTCTCAAGTGCTACTTTACTAAATATATGTACATTTGTATGCTCAATCATATCTGCCAATGATAAATGTTATATTTGGAATATAATCCACCAATATGATAAGGACGTTTAAAAACTCACACTGGCTCAATTCAACAATAGAATTCGAGTTTATATAAAGCAAATCTAAAAAAACTTTTTCGAAAAAACCCCGTAAAATATTGTTTCTGCTACTAAATCAAGTACTTCGCATGATTTGTCTAGAAAAAAACCCATATAAAACTGTTTTAACAATGACTTTTGGTTTTATAAGGTGAAAGTCCAACATGATGACGTTCTATCTTGGCACGATCAATGAAAATCTCCACCAGTCGTTGCAACGTATCGTCAACTTTTACCGTCAGATATTTCGTCACGATTACGCGATCATCCAGCAGTGCGAAATATAATGCAACGAGACAATCCACTGCATGTTTCCGAACATTAGAGCTCGAGTGGCTGAGACATGTTGTCAACACGCTCAATAAAGAGTCGTCGACCATCTCATGTTGACGCAAAAATGTCACATCTCGAGTGTCACATTGTTCGCATTGTTGTAAACACAATGTGACGAGACGTAGGATTACTTGAAGCACTGGTGGAGATTTGCTTGAGAGGAGCGTAATCAATATGGAGAGTATCTGCTCATAGTCCTTGGCTTTGCTTACGACATCATGTAAAATACGTTCTATCAAATGACTTGCCTGTTCAATGCAAGAGGTAAACAAAATCGAGTTAGAAAACAGCTTGAAAACACGCTTCCATCTTGATCTGACTTACCACATCACTTTGATCACCTAGTGCATCAATTAAACGTTCAAGAAGCAGCTTGGAAAACACTTGGGCCCGACACGGCTGCGCGAGAACAAGTGTTTGGAGCACTTTCAATGCGTTTATATTTTTCTCGATCGCACCATCTAATAACAGTAAAAGTAGCCGCTGGAAACAGCGATCCCAAGTCTCGGATGATGTGATCTTGATACCATGCAACGTCTGCGTGTATAAAAAGACATGAGTGAGTTACGAAAACACTTCACCTCTGATAAAAGAAGAAGCAAGGATGCAAGGCTTACCTTATAAAGTGCGTGCTTCACTTCCATCTCCGATGTATTCGTTTGCTCGAGAATATCAAGCATGTCTTCGACTACTTGGTTCCGATTCTTGTCCACAAAAGCTGCACTCGGTGAAGGCAACGCACAGGAGAGCAATGATCTTTGAGACGATGCAGCTTTGACAACTTCCTCTCTAGTTTGTTGACTTCCTGCCGGGTCGGTTGTCTGGACGTCAATGTTCTGGTCCTCCGTGCCTGATTTAGACGTTGTATTAATCCGTTTTTGGCTGTTCTGTCGAGCAGAGCCGAAAGAACCCATGTTTGGTGACTTTGGTCGCTTCCGGCTTCTCTCTGGTTTGGACGCTGCGTGTTCCGTGTTTTGGGTATCACTATCCACGTCCTGAGATTGAGTTGACTGCGGAGCTGACGATAGTGGTGGTTTATGGAAGACAATGTTGCCAAGAACAATTTTTTTGGACTTGAGTATCTTGGCAACAACCAATCGCTTCGATGGAGGAAGCAATCCTAGTGCTGCCTCCATCTCGAGACTATAATGCTGTGCACTAACTGAGACGAGTTCACCACACGCTGATGAAACAGAAACTGGGACGTCAGCATCCACAAGTAGAGCAATTTTGAGCAAAAATGACCTCATGTGACTGTTGTTGGCACCGTTCTTCATATAACCTTCAGCTTTGGGCAACAACTCGCGCAAGTAGTGACACATTGCGGCTTTAACCTTCATGTTGCTTCCATCTCCCAACATCGATATTACCACTGCAGTCAGACTTGAGCTATCAACTGTGGATGCAATGTGTTCCAAATTCTCTTTAGCAACCATCCGAATAGATTCTTTGGTGTCAACAAACTTTTGAAACAGCTTTGGCAGAATAGTCTTCAAATGTGGAAGGAGTAGCTGAGTGCTGTTGAGAAGCTTTAGGAGAGGCAAAAAATTCTTCAGCACGCCCTGTGCGACACGATAATGAGCATCACCTAAATGCTTGATAAACGCTACCATGATTCGACCGTCGACCTTGCGATCTCCGCTTGTCACGTTAGCAATCTGGTCATCACGTTTCTGGATCAACTTTCCAATGTACTCAGCGGCTTCCAATCTAGTAGACCACGATCTGCTTTCAAAATTCCGGAGAGCTTCCTCAAGCTGATCTGTGTCTGGCAACAGCGCAATGTTCGATGTTTCTGACATTTTAACGGGTGCTACTCGCATTTGCTTGTTGTCGCCGGAATCGCCCCTCGATACGATATTGGTCTTAGAGCTTAACGCATTTGATGCAGTCAGTGACGGCATTGACGCAATTGGCAATCGTTTTGGACCAGCAACTTCACTCTCATCAATTTCCATCGATGCTGGAGCATGAGCTTCGACTGCACGCTGAACTCGTTGCACTTTAGAAACCGGCTTCGAATTAGTATATTGTCCAGTAGTCGAAAACTCTTGTCGCGATGTATCTATGCTCTCATCCGTCGCGTGCCTTATCGGCAACAAATTTGGCGCATTCCGCACTCGAACTGGACCCATAGCAGCGCTCTTCTTCGTTTCATTTACACCCAAAACATCCTGGGAAACCAATGGTTTTGGTCGTGCTGCAAGTCCGACACGCATTGGACGCTGTGCAAGCATTCGTGAAGTTTGCGTGCTATCCTCTGCACCATCCAATCCATTCTCACTTGAGCTTCCTCCTAGGACCCGCCTAGGTAGTTTCTCAGTAGCCGCTTCTTCTGAGGTGAGACCGCGCGGTTGGTTATCACTGAAGGTCATCAAATTTGCTGGAGCAGAGGTGCTAACTGGTGGCTGAGATGCGTTGGTAGATCGAAACCTTGCAAGCTCAACTTCATTGTTTTGCGACACAGCAGTGTCTAACGAACTGTAATCCGTCTGCCGCGCCGCTTTTGCTGTATACCTTGAGGTATCGTCTTTTATTTTCTTTTGTGTCGACCCATCTAGACGAGCAAAGATGCTTTCAGCTTCGTTCTGCTCCGACAAAAAAGTCGAATCAGCAGCGTTAGTACAGCAAATATTACTTGCATATTAGCAAACGTACCGGAAACAGATGATGAAAAGACCAGTAGCATTTCCTTGATTGCGCACGCACATCGCCCAGCGCGTCTCGCAAAATGACTGGCATAATCGGTACAAATATGTCCGAGTGCCTATAACCACCATCACACCAGTTAAACTTGTCAGGCATCAACGGGCGAAAGCAACATTTTAATACGTACTTGCTGAGAAAACTGATGCTCCATTGTTGAAGGGCCAAAGTTAAGTAGCACACCGCATTGTATCGCAACACGTGGTTCCGAGATTTTGCACACTCCACCAACCTGAATGATTCATGAAGCCATGAAAGGCGTCAGCATCTAGTGATACTGGTACAGACGGTTTATGCCAACTTACTTGGGAATCACTCGTGCATAACCGTTGCTTGTACTTTTAATCATGGTTTGAATCGTTGCATCTGCTGCAGTCGATATCACCTGGATTGTCACGTAAGTTGATTTGAGCAGATTGCCAAGGCAAATCTCTGCATGAGCATTAAACTCGTCACGAAGAGTTTTGGCAAGAGTCTGGATTGTTTCACAAGCTTCTCTGGACACAGAAGACCGCAAATCAATAACTTGTTGGCATAATCTCTCACGAATTAGGCGCAGGCCGCGAGATAGAGATGAGATCGCAGTTCTTCTATTCGATGCTTTAGCGCATCGGTTCGTCAGTTCCTGTAACGACTTCAGCCCAACAACGCGTTTATCCCAATCGTTGTCGAGCTGAAGCTTGTCAAATATCATTCCAATTTGCTTCTGGATTTCCTTGTCAGAAATATCGTCGCTATTTGTTTCAAAAGAACTACAGCCTTGTGCAACCTTATTGCTTGCAGAAAACTCTTGCGATGAAGATCGCTCTCCATCAGCAGAAACAGCAGCAGCCTTTGCCTCATTAAAAGTTCGATTTCGAACGGATTCCAAATACCTTGCTACCGATGACGATGACGACGAGGAAGCCTGCAGATCGTAAGATGACAGCATTGATGACAATGTTTCTGGAAGGCCAACACCAGGAGCTGCAACACTACTTGATGTCTGCGACAAAAGTCACATTAATCAGCTATATCGAACACATCCATGTCAATTGGTCACAATATACATACTGACGCATTGTCGTGGGATTGTGCAACACTTGCGCATGAGCGAGAGCTTTGACTATATAGTGGAATCTGCTCAAACCTTTCTTCGAGCGTCGCCATGTGTCCTGCTCGTATGCTCTTATCCTGGAGATCGGTCTGTGTTGTCATACAAACAAGAGCAGATTAAAATCAACACTAATAATAGCTAAATATCCTCCACCGTCTCGTACCAAAAGTGAGGGACCAATATACACGTAAAACTTTTCCAGCGTCGTCATAGCTGCATTGCGCACATCTTTCGACGAGTCTTCCAGTAATTTCAGCACCTAGTAACACCACAGCAACAACACGCAAGTCCGTCATCCATTCTCCTTGGCCCTCACTTCAGTAAACTTCTACCACGCACATCATCTAACAGCTCGTCCTGCTTTTCTTTAAACAACTTGTGTTTCTCTAAACATCTCCATATTGCATGCAAACTCTACAAGAAAAATAACCACCCACGCCACCGACAATACACCATACAAAATCATCACTATCTGTCTCTGTCTCTTTTTCTTTTTATTGCAGCTCACTCTTGTGTCGTTTGTACCTGCTCACGTGTACGCCAGTTCTTATGCTTCATACAAAGTTGAAGCTTCTCGAGCACAAGTGACACATCCAGCACGATCGAAACCTCTACAATCACATGTACCGCTTTCTCCCGTACTGGCAATTTGTTGTCTCCCAGTCGCTCCATGAGACTCAACCACAGCAGCTTCCAAGATGACCGTGGTAGTGTGTTCTCAGACACGTGCGCGAGCAGTAACTCAAGTATTTCCAATGCACCCATGGTTATTTTTGAGTTGTGATCACGTAAACACTGCAAAATATGCGTAATTAATGTCGCAGAGGGCTCAACAACACCCTTTTGTCGACGTAATTGTGCTAAAAGCCCTGTAATTCCTGCTAATCGTTGTTTTGTCGCTGTCAATAATGATTTATATATGAAAATTAGTCCATTGGATAGATAAGACAGTAAACAAGATCATGATATAGATATGACGTACTAGAAGAGCTTAATAGCGCCGCTATTTCCTCCATCTTTCGTCGTCTGACCGCAACCGAGGAGAAATGGGGTGGAATGTTTTTAACAATTTGAATCTTGACGGTCGATGATTGGCTAAAATAGTAAAACTAGACACTGATCTTCGTTGTACTAATACCCTCTCATATCGAATACAGTCATTGATATGTGTAAGTACAATTAGTAAACGTTATATCCATAAACCTCGTTTGGATAATATCCAAATTCTCTTTTATTATATTGCAATCATGTCCTCAGGCCGATATGTACGACAAGCTGCAGCTCAAAATGAGACGTTTGTCGTACACATTTGGCGTTGGATTAAGAAGAAAATCTGTGCGTAAATGAATTAGAAACTCAAGTAGATTATCTGTATTTGAGTCTTGTAATGAGTAGTAGTAGTAGTCTTTTATGGTTGATGCAGCATGTATTGACGTAATTATGGTTTGTATCTTCTAATTTTATATCTAGGGCACGTATTCTACGGCGAGAATGAGTGGCAACATTTGTGTCATCCATCAATTAACGTAGATGAAGAGAAACGTATTGTACGATTTCGTACGGAACTTGCATTGTCTCCTGTTATGGTAGAGACTTGTAACGTGGTGTTTCATTTAAAGCCATTTCCCGTACGTGCACGATCCTATTAGGATACTTGTGGTTGTATTATTTGGATCCTAGTTGATTGTTCAATGGAGTGGTTCATTATTAACCTCTAAGTACAGATGGATAGGACACTGCATGAAGTGGCAATGAATGCAAAACTTGATGAGAAGGATACAATGTATGTATCTGTGTTTACTACTACTCTTGGGTTGACTGAGACAGGATCGTGTCATGCTAAGAACTTGATGATATCTTGCTTGATGTTTTCTCAGGCTAATGGCCAATGTACGATCATGTCTTCATTGCTGCAATTTTGTCAACAAAGTGTACGAGCACGTGTATACGTTGAAAAATGAAGGATACAGCTCGTTAAAGCAGGAACATGAAGAAATGCTTGAGCAATTATGGACAAACTTGAAACCGGACGTGCGTCGTATAGGTGGACGCATTACGAAGGAGTGGGGCGAGATTGGCTTTCAAGGTGATTTATATGTTACCAAATGTGATCCATGGCTTATTTATACTGACAAGATGCACCCTGAACGATGCTGTCAATGTACTGTGTTGACGGAGGATATAGGAACTGATCCAATGTCGGATTTTAGAAGCATGGGCGTCTTTTCGCTTGTGCAACTCATTTACTTTACAAAAACGTACAAAGTTGAAGCTCAGCGGTATGAAAGCTTGTTTTATTGCGCTAACAAAACGATAGAAATGCTTGCTGATCCATCATCTTTTTTATGATACTATGCGTCGTGTTCTGTAGTGCCTTAGAAGAGTCAAACCATCCGACGCGCTGGTATCCATTTGCTGTGACTGGAATCAATGTGACAGCTTTCATGATTGAGCTGATTGATGAGCATCTGCTGGATATTAAGCTCTATCGTTTTGCTACGAACGGTCATAACGACGACTTCACTGCTGCCTTAACGCAGCTTCACGACATTTACGGTATGTTCATTAGGTGATCTAAAACAACCACGTTGTGTCTTATTCCAAGTCTTATCTTATGTGTGTGTTGTATTATCTCTAGCCACGATCTTCACTCGCTTTAATAAGATGTGGATTGACAAGAATCCACGTGATGTGATGGCATTTCCATCGATTTTCCAGTCACTCAAGGACGACATTCGTCATGAGTTAAAGCTCAAGTCATTTGCCTACTAAAAGTCTGATTAATCTGATAACTCTGCGACGTGTGTGAATTCAAACGCTACTGCTCTGCCATCCATCCAATCATTGTTGGTCATTTTATCCACATTTCAATACAAATACATAGTACAAGTACAAAGTGTGGGACCCAATTGATATGGGCACAGGACGATCAGGTACAGGCAGAGCACGTGCTCATGCGAAGAAGAAACAGTACAAACGTGGCCATGCGACGAAAAATCGTGCACGTGATATTGATCAGATTCAAGATGATTTACTTGTGGAGAAGATAACGGGCAAGAAGAAAAGCTTTGAAATCGATGAAGACCTGCCGGGGTCAGTAGCTCACTTGCTTCGTTTGTGTTTGTATATCTGTTGATCTTGTTATGTTAATATGTTAGAATGGTTGTAACTTATATTATGATATGATTTATAGGTTGGGTCAGTACTATTGTACACCATGTGGTCGTCATTTTATCGATATGAAGACACGCAATGTGCATCTCAAGACTAAAGTACACAAGAGGAGGTACGGACGGAGACAGATGAGTTGACTATGGAGACTCTTCGGAAGAAAGGATTGTACTGATTTGTGGTTTCTGTTGATTTTATAGATTGAAAGATGTTGCACAGAAACAATATACACAGAATGAAGCCATGCAAGGTGCTGGAAAGGGAATTGAGACATACAAGCCTGCTCATAAGAAAGAGAGTGATGACATGGAGGATGATCTCTAGATGTTTTTGCTTATCTATTGGATAGAAATTGCAGACGATTGAGACGTATTCTGGCAACGAAGCTGTCGATCTCGAATCCTGTTTTTTAAATAAATACCAGCGATAAGCCAAACAACTTTGAAAATCCATGTCCTTCAGCAAACACGTTTCTACCCGTCTTTGGCTAACAGTTCGACTGTGTCTTGAGTGCGAGACACATTCATGTGATGCAGTGAGACATGGTACAGAACCAGCACCTTTCATGGTGAAAATATAACTACTTGGTGGTGACTCTGTGATAATAATGCCACTTACTGGATGGTGACAGGAGCAATGGGTAAAAGCAGGACAAATACAAAGACAAGGCTGCGGGAATATCAAAGCTTGATAGCAATAAAACCAATGACTGCATCCGACTAAGTGCGATTGAATGTGAAAGTGATGCATGAAAGTGATTAGGGCATCCATTGGTCGTGGGTATAGTATGTTGAAGGTGTGCCTCCGCGAGCATGACAACGGCATGAGGTGAACACGATGTTGTTGAAGGGCTGTAGAGAGAGCATCAACTGCTTGATTTTATGCGACAGTTGGGCGGCAACGCGACGCCATGACACCAAACTTTCCTCTTTGAATAAACACAAATGTAATGGAAAATTACGAGCAGCTGCTTCTATAGCATTTGTATCGATTGTCCCACGCTTTTAGCGTTCAAACAACGATATAAACACTCGCAAACGTTGTTTTATTGGGTGTGGAATTGGGTTGTGAGTGATGGTCAGTGACTTGGATATCGTCGTCCTTTATTTTTACGCCTCGTTCGTTGTCTGACGTAATTACAAACTCTTTCATTCTAAATTTGAATCACCTATAGACTCTCTCTATCCAGATAATTTGTCCTATCAAACATCTTGTATCACAGTCTAAATTCAACGTAGCGACCTCTACAATCACGTATTACACCCATCCCCTGTCCTTATCATACTATTATATCTCACAGGTTCAAGAACCAAAATTGTCAATTTAAAGCCTAAAACAACACAAATTTGCGCTGTCTCTCCTCCAGTTGCGAGTCGTCGCCCCCCCCCTCTCCTCCTCCTGTTTCTTTCTTTCTAGCCACCATAAGCCAGTGCGCGCGCCTCTTCTCGAAGCAAGTAAGTGCCATCGATTTACTTGATTTCCTTCATTTGTAGTGCTCTCCCAACCACAAGCCTTGGCTCTACGTGTTCCCCTTGATCTCGTCTTTACACTACGCTCGTGTATGCCTGAATTAATATCAACAGAACCTTGTTCTATGGGTCTTTTTGTTTCAATCCAGATTCTAATGGTTTCTCTTGTTGTTGTTGTTGTTGGTTTCTGTCATTGATTATTACAGCTCTTTCTCTACGTTCTGTCCTTGCACTTGTACCAAAAGCATGTCTTTAATCCGTGAGAGTGCGTTAGAACTGCGTGTTGGCAAGAAATTTCGTCTAGGCCGTAAAATTGGCAGTGGATCCTTTGGTGATATTTACTTGGGTACAAATATGACATCGGGAGAAGAAGTTGGGATTAAACTTGAGTCTGTGAAGAGTAAACATCCACAATTACTCTATGAGTCGAAGATTTACAAGATTCTAAGTGGTGGACGTAAGTAAAATGACGGTATTTCTTACTGTTGTTTATCGTACAATGGGGTGAATTTTACTCGTACTTAATGCTGCTGGCGTTTGTCTCTTTGTCTGTTGTTGTAGTGGGTGTACCATCTTTACGATGGTTTGGTGTAGAAGGCGAGTACAATGTGATGGTGATTGATCTATTGGGTCCATCACTTGAGGACCTGTTTAATTACTGTGGCCGTCGTTTTCAGCTTAAAACCGTACTGATGATTGCTGACCAGCTATTGTGTCGCATTGAGTACTGTCACGCCAAGAACTTTATTCATCGAGATGTAAAACCAGATAACTTTTTGATTGGCTTGGGCAAACGTGCACAGATTGTTCACGTCATTGACTTTGGTCTGGCCAAGAAGTATCGCGATCCCAAGACACACCAACACATTCCGTACCGTGAGAACAAGAATCTTACGGGTACGGCTCGCTATGCTTCCATTAATACCCACGTTGGTATTGAGCAAAGTCGTCGTGATGACCTTGAGTCCCTGGGCTATGTGTACATGTACTTCATCCGCGGTTCGCTGCCATGGCAGGGTCTTAAGGCCAACACGAAGAAACAGAAGTACGAAAAGATTATGGAGAAGAAGATGAACACTCCTATTGAGGTACTTTGCAAGGGCTATCCGGCTGAGTTCCGTGCTTACTTCGAGTACTGCCGTGCTCTGCGCTTTGATGACAAGCCTGATTACGCGTACCTCAAGCGTCTATTCAAAGAGCTCTTTTTTCGCAAGGGCTTTCAATTTGATGCCATGTTCGACTGGACTGTTCTCAACCTGCGTAGCGGCCGTCGAGAGCGTGGCACAAGCGGTGAGGCCGATCGTGGTGCTCGTGCGGACCCGCGCCAGGAGGCGGCCCGTGATAACCGCCAGATCGCTTCTCAGGGCCGTGTTTACGTCCGTGATGAGACGAAAGAGGGCGATGCTCAGCTGCAATCGCAGCAGTCATACCGTTCGGCCGGCTTTCGTGACGAGAGGCAAGCGGCTATGGATGCAGGCTACCCTGCTCCTCGTGTGGCCACTGGTACTAGCCGTGACGCTGGCGGTGAGGCGAAACCGGTTAGCCGACAGCGTTATTGAGCTTAATCTGTCTTGGAGCATGTTGTGCTGTCGCTGCTAAGTTCTTGGTAGTGATTGGCGCAATACTGCTCGAGGCGGATGTGTTTTCTATGAGTGTGATTGGTTGCAAAATCGATAACACTTTGCTTGGAAGCACCGCAAAAACGATTGGAAAGCGAACGAAGAATGAAAGCTGCTGAAGAAGACGACGTGAAGTGATAAAGAAGATAGCGGTCGATTGTGGAAGCACGAACATATTCAATTAAAATAAAACAAAAAATGAGAGATGATGAAACGAAGAGACCTGACGGCTGCTGACGAGAATTGAAGAGAGGATCCGACGACTGCGTCGGACGACCTGAGGACTTTGTAGTTGTAGTAAGAAAGAAAAAGAAAAGAGAGAAAGCAAGAGGATGAACTGGTTGCAGTTACGAAGCGGCTATTGCATTCACTTGAAGTGGAAAACAGGATGGTGTCATGGTGTCTACGATCGTGGCGATGGTAGCTGCGATGGTTTTGACAAGGCTGCGATTGGGTGACATGCAATGAGTTTGTGAGGCTTTGCCTAAACACGTATGCGCTCAACGCAGCCTTGATACTTTGAACTTTAGTTTTTTCATTGCATTTGTGTCTGATAATAAATTTACTCCAAGCAAGCAACGCGTAACGTGTATGTGCATTTTTAAACAGCAAGAACGTTGGAAGTTGAATGATCTTTTGTCGCTGCTTACATTGAGGACAATAAAGCCATGTCATGTCTTTAGTTAGAATAATGTCTTTTCGTGGACTTATCGGGTCGAGTTTGTTCGTAACTGAGAAAAGCATTGGTGATGGATGTACTTGAACGAAAACACACTTGCAAGTAAAATAACGAGAACGGCTTTGACTAGCAACTAATATTATCGGGATACTATAGACTGACCCTACAGTTAGTGAGTGATTATATTAACGGAGAGGCAAATAAGGGACGGAGACGAGCAGAGTAGACGAGCAAGCAAGCACACACAATGGAGCTAGCTATCCATCGATCCGCGCATAAGTACGAGTTCTGCGGCACCCCTGCTACCTTTGGACTAGGAGTGCCACATCTCATCGCACTAGGATAACTGCTGCAGTGATTGGCGTATATCAGCTTTTCGATTTCCAAGCCGCGACGAGTGTCTGTCTTGCTCTCTTGTCCATCCCCCATCGCGTCAAAAATGGATGGTGTTATTGAATATAATATCGTTCATGAAATGTCTTCGCCTCTCATACAACCAAGCAAGAGCTTGGACAAGTATGTTACGCGTTTACCCCAAGAGCAACTGCACTCCTTCTTTTTTGTCCAGATGCTCGACTTGATTTTGTGCACGCAATGCCGTTGTTCCCATTGTTTCCTGATGCTGTCGAGCCCGTTGCAGTTGTCGATACTGTACTGTTTTCACCGTCTTCTACTGTTCCACGATGTAAAGGAGTCGTTTGCTGTGCTTGATGATGATGATGATGATGTAGAGGCAGTGGATGACTGCGTCGATGTTCCATTGGCATTTGCACCTTTGGGTACGTCTCAGTCGCGTACACTAATTGTCCTTCACTCTGCGGATCTGGCGTTACAAAATGACGTAGTTGATAATAAGGTGAATGTGGTAGTGATGAGCTCCGTATACGGATATACATGTAATGATTAGCCAATTCATTGTAATAACGTGCATACGTCTCACTGCTGACGTGAAGACTAAAGTTAATCAATAGTAAATATTCCACTTCAAGTTCATTCATTTCAGGACACGGTATCCCACCTACTTTTGCATAGTAAGCATTATTAAAATAATGATCATCAAAGAACTTGGCTGCTAGTACAACACTTGTAATAATGACACGATGGACATTGAGCTCTGTTAGTGCAAAACCTTGCATTTGATGAAGACGATCCATATATACAAGTCCAAGTACAAAACACTCGGGACTACAACTAGCATATTTATGAATACGTGTAAGATAGTCACGCACTGAAATTCCTGGAGCACGAAAAGCTTCAAATTTCGTTTTATGATAATATCCCAATGGCATACGATCACTTGTACGCATCATTGATTCAATAACAATTGCTAAGGTCTCGACAATCGCGTGTCCACGTTCATCATTTGAATCAATCGTATCATCTAACATTACAGTCATGTTTGGTCTCTCTCTCTCTAGACTTTCAATTGATCTCTTTCGGGTTACGGTCTAATGATGATGGCTGGTTGAGGAAAGGGGGTATTCTTATATACCACCCCTCTCTAACTATCAACTTATTTATTTAGTATGCATCTAAATCGGACAGTCCCTCGTTACAATGACCGTTTTTTTGGTTTTTTTCCAATGAGAAAAACAGATCGAGGACGAAAATTTGATCGTTTTGTTTTTCTTTTTAACTTCTTTAACTTATTTTAAAATCTCTTGTCACACATAGACGAGCTATTTGGTTGGTGGTCGTGGCGCCAATTTGATTCAGTCAGACCTTTTTTTAGAGCTGTTTATGTATGGAAGTGTTTTTTATGTAGCAAATCTTGAGACATCGTTTAGAACGAAAAGCCATGCATCGATATGGCCTCTTTCTCTAGGATCCTGTTCATTTTTTCTACTGTACAAATCTTGATACGTTGCTATTGGAAATAACATATACGAAGCATAGTTACTACAATGTCTGGAACCTCTAACGAAATAATTCACCGTATAGCCAGCCATACGCACAAGCATCACTAGCATTCTCACAACAATATCAATCACCAAGTAGATAGGACGTTATTTTACTTCCTGATATTAACTCTTTTTTAACGTAATATAACCATGAGCAAAACATGGTCCAAGTGTAACGCATACACGCTCTGTTTTTTTGAATGATGTTAAAGTCATTGTAACAGAAAATTAGATCCTTTGGATTAGTTTCACTGACAGATTAGTCCGTAAATGATGGTAGCAAAAGATTATGGCCGACAGAGTAGTCGAAAATCGTGTACCGTACGTAATTACTTGCACAATACCGACTATGGTTTCAGTATATCGTACTTAGTCACAAGTCCACTGTCGCCTCCATTCATCCAGCACCAAGATGGGTTCAAAATGCAAGAATTCCACGACGTGTACGCCACAGGACGATAACGAGCTACTCGTGGCAAAAGATTCGATACAATCTACAAGATATACAATTCCTGAAATAAAGCTTCAAGTGAACCAAAAATACGCCCAAATCTATGAGAAACGGAAGCGTAAGGAAGAGCTTTCCGTACTTGAAAAAAGATGTGGAGTCCATGGGGTTACTACTACTAGTGATGATCCTGAGTCGGAATCCGAGACAGAAGATGAAGATGGGGAAGAATTGACACAGGAAATTGATGCAGATATTACTAAAACGCTCAAGCTTCTTCGTAAGAAAGATCCAGTCATTTATGATCCATCGATCACGTTTTTCAAGCCATCAGTTCAGGCTGTTGAAATGATCCATGAAGAAGATACAAATGATGGCCATATAACCGTAACAAAGGAGAAAAGAGTGATGCCATTGTATTATAAGGATATGGTGCGTCAGCAAGCAATGGCAGGAGACATTAGTGGCAGTGACGACGACGACGAGGAGGAGGAGGAGACGGAAATGGTGCAAACGTATGCGGAAGAACAGGCTGAGATAAAGAATTCATTCTTGGCATTGCTGAAAAAGGAAGAGGAGAAGGAAGAACAGGAAGTAGATGATGAACTAGATGGAGGACTTTTTACAATAAGGAAGAAGGACGTTGGCGAACAGAAAAAAGAGGAAGACGAGTATGAGGAGTTTACGTCCAAGTATGGAACAAAGCTAAAGAAGGGAGAGACGGATCCTGACAAGTTCTTGGAGCATTATCTAAGCAGTGAAGGATGGAAAGATAAAACTCTTGTTGTCCCACATTATGATGACATTGTTAAAGAGGACGAAGAGGATGCAGAAGCGTTGGAGAAGGCGGAAGAATTTGAGCACAATTACAATTTTCGCTTTGAGGAACAGGGAAGTAGTGTCATCCAAACGTATGCGCGTCACATTGATGACACGATGCGTCGTGAAGACGACTCGCGTAAGCGAAAACGAGCAGAGCGAAAGGAGCGCAAAGCCCTTGAACGTCAAAAGAAAGAGGAAGAACTTCGTCGTTTGAAAAATCTAAAGCAGGCTGAGATCGAACGAAAGCTGAAAAAAATTGCACGGCTCATGGGTGAAGAAGAAAGCACGGTTGGCCTGAAGGCAGAGGACCTGGAGGGTGACTTCGACCCCGAAGAGTACGACAAGCGAATGCAAGCCGTATTTGATGACGAGTATTACAATGAAGGTGACGACGATATGGAGAAGCCTATGTGGGACGAAGACGACGATAAGGAACTATTTGCAGGTCTGTCTGTCGATCCAGAGGAGGAAGAGGATATAGAAAGCGCTGCTAAAGCGAGAATTGAAGCAGAAAAGAAGGATGACGAGGACGACAATGAGGATGACAACGAGGAGGATGCTAAAGACGAGGTGCAAGAGGAGGATGGAGATGAGGCGGCACCACGTAAGAAGCTGAAAGAGACTGAGATGCAACGTCAGAAGCAGAAGTACCTGGATGAGCTGTACAGCTTAGACTATGAAGACCTGATTGGAGACATCAAGTGCCGCTTTAAATATCGTCAGGTCCAGAATAATGACTTTGGTCTCACTGTGGATGAGATTATGGCTGCTGACGACAAAGAGCTTAAGCAGCTTGTGTCTCTGAAGCGTATGGCACCGTACGCTGACTCGGAGTACTCTATCGATCGTAAGCAGCTTAAGAATTTCAAGAAGAGTTTGCGGAAGGCTCAAGAAGAGAACCGTCGGCGCAAGCACGCAAAGAAGACTGCTGCTGGGAACGCGGCAGAGAATGATGAGGCCGAACAGCCTAAAAAGAAGAGGAAACGCAGCAAGAAGAAGGTTACAGAGGAGGGAGCGAAGTCAAAAGAAAATGAAGATGATACGATGCCGGAAGACGATGAGTCGAACCTGAAAACGAGTAAGAAGGTAAAGCGTGAAAGTGCTAAGCCAGTAGCGGAGGAGACTGCAGGTGACATTGAACCGAAGAAGAAGCGCAGGAGCAAGAAAAAGAAAAGTGGTGAGAAGAATGTATATGCAAGTACGGGTCTCCCGACTTCTCGACTCGAGTCGTACAAGCTGGTTAAGACTACGAAAAATTAGAGAAAAGGCTCAAGATTATAAACTGCTTGATGTGGTTTTCTCCCTAGGCGCTAGAGGGTAATGGTAAATGCTGCCTCATGCATGAGATCATTCACGTCGTCTATCTTACAAAGTTTTCGATCAATGTGTTGGCTATTGTGTCCATAGCGTTGGTGTTGTACGAGGTTTTCAGTTGAGGTTCCACTCAAAACGCAAGTTTGACGTAGCACGTAAGTATCTGGCGTCGAACAATAACGTGTCGATGTATTCATGTGCAAGAGACGTAAATAAAAGCAGTGGCCGCTGGATGCAATACACGCATATGGCAAGCGTTGCATAATCCCACTCTGCGGCGACGTAGTGAAAACTGTTGCTTGATCTGTGGAAATACGCACACCAGCTGCTGGCTATAACAAACTCTGCATGAAACTTCCATTATACTACAAGTGTTGACAAGAGAGCAAAAGCGTGACAAGAAGCAATGAGATCGCAGCATAAGCAAACAGGAGTCTGTGGAAAAAGGCAAAATCGGAAAAACATGTTATTACTCTCGGGCAAACCTCACTTCATAGAGCCGCCCAACTAGTCACCTACCGATGAAACTATACAGCCCTCTCAACAAGTTCTTTGACGTAACCCCGCCGGTAGACAAATGCAAACAGATGCAATCCACATCCACTTGCTGAACTGGCTCACATATATATACCACGCGTGACCACAAAACTGCCAACGACAGCCTAATGTTTGCACGTTTTCCAGCTTCACCACACCGCTATACTTCTAAAACGCAACTTCCTTGGTGCCTTTTAACGGGGAGCTCACATCTTCGTCAACCGGCTGAGAGGAAGCTAGACTAGTCGTAGGGGGCCTACGTGCCACCTTTGTCGCCGCCTTAAACTCCACCAGGTCCTCCTGATACTCGTCTGACTGCATATATTGCGTGACTGTCTCGCCTAATACATTGAGCACCTCCACTTGCTTGTGGTCGATATTGTCGCGAGCATATCGGTCTGCCACGCACAAGTCACCTACCACTTCACCGTTCACCAGCAACGGAATGCCAACGAAGAACTGTAACTTAGCTGTAAAACGCTTTTCACCTGAAATTCGTTTATCCGAGCTCACGTCAAGCACGATGCAAGGCTTGCCACGGGTTGCCAGTCGCCGGAAGGTCGGCAAACTTCGAGGTAGACCTGGTGCCGGCTTACCGTCATAGTATCTCACAAGCTCAAAATCTTCGGTACGAATACCGGCCATTGGGCAAGTCAACGTTTCCATAGCCAACATACATATCTCCTCCATGTCCTCATTAAAGTAATGGATGCGACATTCCGAGCTCTTCTTCCTGCTAGTAGCAGTGCTAGCATTCGATGCAGTCCTTCCCATCGAATCGGTCGGCCTGCTTTCACTGCCCGTTCCCCTACCTTGACTTGACGTTGATGCTGTCTGTTTGTGAAAAGGAGGTGGGCTGCTACCTCCGTCGTCGCTCATTTGCGGGATCACATCAAAATCGTTTAAAGACAAAGCTGAGCCCTTGTTGCCTGGCATCGTAGGAGGAGTCGTCAAAGCCGGATTCTCATTCGGTGGACTGTATGACTCATCTGAAGTCAAGGAGCTTGTACTACCAATACTTAAGCCAATACCCAGCCCATTTAAAAGTGGGGTAGTCCCCGTACCTCCATTGCTCTCTGACTCCGTGCTATTGCTACTGAGGATCCGGCCTGAAGAATTCGAAAATCCACCGACCATCGTACTTCCAAAATTCATGTTGCCACCAACCATCGTACTTCCAAAATTCGTATTGCCATTGACGCTGGCACTCTTTGCTAAGCACGCCTTGCACACGCGTACTTTTGCTGCCACGTCTTGATCGCCTTTAACCATCTTGAACACCGTGCATGCCGAGCACACGACTTCTCCACACACTCGGCAATGATGACGTCGTTTTAACATGCCAAAAGATTGCACACAGAGCGAGCAGTTGGCCCGTTGCGCATCATTGACCCATTCCTGTCGTTGTGCTAGTGCCGCTGGGGCAAAAAATGCTTGTTGCACTGCCTTCTGCATGCCCGAGAGACCTCCAGCAAGTCGAAGTGACGTGAGTCGAACTCCAGCAGACACACTTTCATCTCCCCTTGCCTTGCGCATTGCAAAAGTGAGTGTGACAGTAACCATATTGGGATCTTCTGGAGTCTGCTGTACAACGTACGAGCTTGGTTCAAAGACAGTTAGACTGTATGCATCGGATTTCCCTCGAATGCCATAGCGTGCAGCTGGTCCATCATAGGATTCAAATTTCAAGACACCAACGGTGCCATAGAGTGGATGATTTGGTAAGAGTACAGCATATTCTCGAATACAAAATTCTTTAGACCGTCCCAGTGTTTTAGGTGAAGAGTAGACAAGCCATTTTAATGTCATGGATTCCAATCGCGCTCCTTCTTGACCCAATGTCGTGTCTGCATGATGGGTATATAATACTTCTCCATCTAGGAAATTACGTGGATGAAGTAGTTTTTGATATCCTTTTAGACTCGTATTATCCACAGCTCGTAGACATTCAAGCACATCAGCAACGGAACCTGTTACTTTTGTCACAGCACGTACGGAATACGAAAGACGTTCTGTATTTTTAGAATGAAGATAGACAATTGCATTTTCTTTTCGACTTTCAACTGTCCATACACTTAGAAGTGAAGCATTTCGAACAAGTTCATCAATTTCAGCACGATCCGAGAGATAAAGCGCATCAAGATCAACATCCACAGGCCATTGAGAAGCTACTGTTGTGCGTCGTGAGTAGTCAGGGAGGTTTGTAGTTGTATTAGTGCTCGTAGTAGTAGTAGTACTACTACTACTACATCCATTTAACGTATTAGAAACATCGTCATTCATTGGGAAGTGCGAGCCAGAGTCTTTTTCGTTGCTATGAGTACTAGTAACACTGTTATTATGACTATTATTGGTAGTGGTATAATATGTAGTTAATGAAGGAAGACCCTTAACACTTGACTGAATACCGGTATCATGGTTATGTACAGTTTCGAAAGGGTACAAAAAGTTGAAAAATTGGACAAATTCGGGCAAAAATCAAAAAAGTAGAAGGGAATTTTTTGAGGTTTGTCAAGTGAATGAGATAAATGTGTGGGATTTTGTGGAAATTCACGGATCGAATTGACGAAGTTTACAATAGTAACGTGAATAGTTGTGAAAAAGACATCCAAGTGATTGGAAATAGCCAGCAAGTGTACGTTTCGTAATTAGCATCTGACGTGACTGTATCTCGGTTAGAAACAGTGACGAACAGAAGAAAAAAGTCAAACGTTTTTGAAATTTCCACATGTATTTGCTGCTTTCATTCGAATAATTTTCACACTAGAAAGTTGTAAATTTGCCACATGGTACCGCGATGTTTTCCAGCTGGCAGCAAATATGCCATAAGGTAGATTCATTACGGGGTGCACTGGCGCTCCTCTGAAGCTGTTGGTCTCGCTTTTTTGCACTGATAAACGCTATTCTCTCTACTTGCTCGCTCGCTTGTAAACTTTACTTTAGCTTTCACACTTTTCTGATATCATAGGGAAAAGCTTTTGACAATATTTACTTGCAACATTCCTAAGGCCATCAGAGTCAGGATTGTACGACGTGGTGAAACGTATTCTTCCTCTTTTTGCAAGCGTTCACATCGTAAAAATAACAAGCAGAGCCAGTGTAAAAGTCGTTGTCGTCTTGTAGTTTACGGCAGTTTGAAATAACGAGAATGTACAGTCGATGTTCATTTGTGTCTTGTCGAATGAGTCATCGTGACAATAATACTTGCTGGTATTGGAACAAATCAATTGCTTATTTTTCAGACATACATTAAGTAAAACGTGCTGGTGTAACTGATTGCTTGCGTCGTAAGCAGTGTCAAGTGATGAAATTGCGTCATGTAACAGGTTATGAATGTGTATCCGTATGTACCCAATTTTAGTCATTTATATAAAAAAGTAGGTAAGAATATTTAGAAAAGAGCTCAAAACAGTTTAAGGAATGCAATAATTTTTACCGTTCGTTTACCAGTACTTTTACCGAGTCAATCAATGTTTCGTACCATGAGTGTCTGTCATTCATCGATTACAACGACAATTATACTGTCTCATCTACCAATGCTGCAATCATTTCACATCGTAAAACTCTCGTCCTTTCGACGTTATTTCAGTATCACGACCACTCGTTCCTTCCCTGTCACGCCTTCCCCATCCTTTCCTAATGAATATACTCATGCAAAGATAATAACATCTCAAGTCCCCGGTCCTAAGTCACAACAACAACTTAAACGCCTTGCAACATTGCAAAATACAAGTGCCATCAATTTTTTTGTCGATTATGCAGCAAGTAAAGGTAATTATCTAGTAGATATTGATGGTAATCGGTATCTTGATGTATATGGACAAATTGCATCATTACCGATTGGATATAACCATCCCAAGATCCTTGAAGCTATGAGTGACAAGAAGAATCTAGCCATGTTGGCTCAACGGCCGTGTCTTGGGGTATTTCCACCCGCTGATTGGGTAGATCGTATTAATCATACGCTGCTTCGAGTAGCTCCTGAAGGATTAAAAGATGTTAATACACTCATGTGTGGCTCGTGCTCGAACGAAAATGCTTATAAGGCGGTGTTCATGTGGTTTCAGGCCAAGTTAAGAGGAGGAAAACCACCATCTGAGCACGACTTGGAGACAAGTATGATGCATCAATTGCCTGGGACACCAAACTTGAGCATTTTATCCTTCCAAGGGGGTTTTCATGGCCGTCTCATGGGTTGTTTGTCAACAACACATTCCAAAGCAATTCACAAGGTGGACGTACCGGCATTTGACTGGCCAGTTGCACCATTTCCCAAGTTAAGATACCCGAGAGATGCTCACCACGCTGCTAATGACGCGGAAGAAACACGATGCTTGAATGAGGTTGAGAAACTGCTCAAACATAGTGCTGGAGTGACCAAGCCTGAGGACTCTCGTATTGCTGGAATGATTGTTGAACCGATACAAGCTGAGGGGGGAGACAATCACGCGAGCCCTTTATTCTTCCGTAGACTACGCGACTTGGCTGCCAAATATAGTGTGGCATTCATCGTGGACGAGGTACAAACGGGAGGTGGTAGCACGGGCACATTCTGGGCGCATGAACACTGGGAGCTGGACAATCCACCTGACCTCGTAACTTTCAGCAAGAAGATACAGACGGGTGGGTATTTTGCAAAGGAAGAATTTCGCCTGAAGGAGGGCTACCGCATATTCAACACGTGGATGGGAGACCCCACAAAGATGATCACTCTGAAGGCGGTGCTTGACGTAATGGAGAATGACAACCTCTTGGAGAATGTCAACATTACTGGCGCGTACCTGAAGACTGGGCTAAATGAGATTGCTTTAGAGTTCCCCGCACTTGCGTCAAATGTACGTGGGCAGGGCACGTATCTGGCGATAGACTTCCCGTCCGAAGCTGTACGAAACAAATTTGTGAGTCTAATGAAGACAAAGGGTGTCGCATCGGGAGGCTGTGGAAGCAATTCAGTTCGGTTTCGGCCCTCTCTGGTCTTTCAACCAAAGCACGCAGCGGAATACTTGGACAAGATGCACGAGGTCTGCACCTCCATTGTCAGTCAAGGCCTAGAATTTTGACGTTGCAGGAAAACTGTCTAGCATAGTAACTGCAGTCATTAATGATAATAAACTGCCGACTTCAACTAGTAGGTCTTACGAAACGAACCCCGGTAGTAAGCAACGACTTCTTTTTGCAGTTTAGTTAGCAATTGAAAAAGCCGTCATGGATAGCTATGACGTTGCTTAATTAGTTTAAGTATTTCGATATATAGCGGTGACAAGCTGTGCATGTGATGACTTTTGATAGTAAGAAGAAACAACGTGTAAAGCTCATTTTTATTTTAATGTATCACACTACGAGATTATTCTTTAGCTACCGTGGTGGAGCGTGTGCAAACGCTACGATTCAGAGTGATCATTGTATGGTCCCTTGTAACTATCTTTGGACCGTCTAGGCGAGTTTTGGCCGAAATCAGAGAAAGCCTGCGTCAGTCTGTTTGCATTTCCGTGTATGGAGTAAAATAAGTAGAAAGTAAGATGTGCACTTGTTGCACTGAAGGCAGGAGTAAGAGTAAGATAGATTTAATGTTACCGTTATCGATCAACACTACAACATGCATTTACTGCACTGCAACTGGACTCGGTCAAGTTGTACATCGCATATGACGTCCTTAGCTCCTTGTCCCATGTAGCGTCCATGACTTTCCTTACCTGGCTCGTCAGGTGAGGTTACACAAAGGTGTGCATTGTACGAACACACCTGCCACACCATTGTGGTGTGGCTGTACCTTCAGCTTAATGTGACCGTACCTAAGGTACGAAGGATCGCATCGTCGTTGGCGCTACCAGAACGGAAGTCTTTCGGGTAAAGCCGTGCTCATTTAAGGAAACTGTTAGAGTGGCATGGAATACCGAGACCAACTTTAAGGCCGCTAGGCCTGCCACTTATTACTACTCGTCTGATGGGTCTGTTCCCACGGACTGTAGTCAAGTGGAAAAAGAAGAAGCTGAACTTCATGCTGCGGAGCAGCAAATTGTGCTCAGATTTTATATCTGCAAGAACACAGGCCATTCAATGGCAAAATGCCCTACAAGAACGGCATATTTGGCCTCAAAGAGCCGACGCCTCATACCATAATTGCCAACAGTCATTCCTTTTACGCGCCAATCGCATGGAGGTTTGGGACTTCCTTCTTTGTTGAAGTACCATGCGGCGCTGCAGACTGCAGACGGGCGGCAGATGCTTCACTCTTTTGACCCAGCGGTGCGGCGTATTTCTCGTGAGCAAATGTAACAGATTGATCTCACGTGCGCCATCGTTTAGATCAAGATTATTGGAAAGTTCGACGTGATGAACTCTGTAAATTTTTTCTCACTGGAACTCTCGGGACGTCGGTCTACGCTCCCCCAAAGCGGAGGTTTGCTAATATAGCGTCGATTTGGGTCGACGTACGCCATAATTTAAACCGTTATGATATTACGATGCAGACAGACCCGGCCAACACCGACTCCGGAACACCTTATGCGGGAGAAGCTCGAGAACGATATGAATCGTCGCCAACCACCAGAATGGGTTTTTCCCAGGGCGGCACCCTACATTGGTGGGGCTCTTCGGTCAAATAAGGCCAGAACAATACCACCTAGTGGTGACGTACTTGGGACGGACCCCCCGGTCTTCGTCACCCGCCGGCCCCGTGACGCCATACCTTGAGATGTTCCGGAGAAGGCACCAGGATCCGACTGCCCAACTTGCCGCAAAGTCTGACTAGAAGTGGCATCCTGTCGCGTGAATCGTGAGTCAAAATATGTCGTGAGCCTCGACGTAACCCGTGACTAACACCGTTACGAGGAACGGTACGTGGATCCACTGGCTGAGTTTCTACTGGCCACCGAACCTGGTCGGTTGGTCGTGGTCCGGCATGAAGCGGGAACTTGATATTGACGTGACCGATGCAGGGAACAGTGTAAGTTTCATATGCGGCGACTGGACTGAATACAAGCATTCGATAGTTGTCTGTCCAGCCGCTTCGCGTCCCTCTTGAGCAGACCCAGATGTTCCTTAAACACCGTAAAATTTCCACCGGCCACCGAACCCAAAGAGCCGTAAACAATAGCCGAGAGGTGGAATTTCCACCCTTGGCGCTAAAGGTGACGCTTGGTTCCAGCATACTTGATCGTCTTGTCCACAGCTACCTTAACCAATCCTGAGCATGAAGAGTCATAACCGTCTTGCTGGTCAAACGCAATAGCCAAGTCCACCACCGCCACCATGCGGGTATCGTGGTTATAAACTTGTAAGTCTGGTCGCAAGTCCAGGCCAGCCATCCCTGGAACCGTTTGGTTGACCCGAAGCTCCGTGCGACCCTGACGTCCATCCCCAGGCTTAACCAGAGCGCGCTCGATGATCTTCAGGGCGTCGTCGTAACGACCACGTATAGCATCCATTGTATCTGGGCAGTGGTTGAGAACATGGGCGAGCGACTCTTTCCACCTGCAGCCCGGGTACCTGCATCGAGCATGAGCACGGAGGCGTCGACGCGAAAGAACATCGCTGTATCCAGCATATTAAGCCGAGCGTAGATAGCAAAACGGTAATCGCTTTCCCACATACCACATGGCCGAGTCAAAAAGCCACTGCCCAAACCACCATGAGCGCAGGCCGGCTTTTCCTGGTCTTTATGTGCACACCATGTCTTCGAGTACAAAAGCTTTATATGCTGCCGGATCCCAAATAACCCGCGGTGTGAGGCACACAAAGCTTCAATGGCTGAGCGTGTTTGGTACTGATCATCCCATATTGGGCACCAAGCAGAAATTATATTTTTATATTAGTTAACGGGTAAACCGGATGGCAATACACATACACTATTCTGTTCTAATCAGTGAAAACTGGGTTTGCGACTTTGAGTTAAAATATATTTTTGCATTTGTTTATAACTTTTTTCTATTCAATCTAGCTTGCTAGGTTATAGGAAACGGTCTCCGAGAGATTCCACCCTTCTCTCGTGAGGCCACCACTACTACTTGATCCTTATTCCTTACCTTCGATCACCAACGCATTGTACCCATATGCAATTTTGGTGGCCGGATTGGGAGCTCCGAGAACGCTTACCGTCTACCGATAGCGAGTGTTCCACGGATAGCCAGTCAAGTCTAGGCAGCGATGCGTCTTTTTACAGTGCAACTACTGAAACAGAGACACGAGGGGAGATGGAACATCTGGCTCCAACTGACTCTTTAGTCGGCTGGCCAGGTTCCCAGTTAGAGCAGTCGCTAGCTCTTTCTGGCAAATTAGATTGACCCGTCAATGGATCGGATTGGTCAAAATGGGGATTTTTCAGGGCCTCTCATTTTTGCCCCCGTTTTGAATCGAGCAGATCCGGCTGTGGCGTCGTTTGCCTCGCCCTTTCGGTCGACCGCACCCCCTATACTTGGAATAAGTTTTTTTCTTAACGAAGATCGCAACCCCTTTACCTCCCCCCCGGTTTGCATAGCGAGAGTGTAGCTGCTGCAGACCCTAGCTTGGTCGCGAGCTCCTCGCCGGGTCCTCGCGCGCCATTTGGCTTTCCTGATTATCGTTCTGGGCCCGTCAGGGTGGACAAAATGCTCTTAGACCGGGTCCACGATCTACAAATTCAGAGCGACAGCTCCCGAGTGCATAAGACAAGCATCCGGGTACGCAGACGTGCCTACTGGCTTTCCTAGCTACATTCCCTGACCCAGAACCTCCTTTTGTCCCCGGTAGTTTTGTTTCTTGACCCAGAAGGGGGCAGGCATGCTGCTTGGAGGGGTTAAAACAGGGGCAACGCTTGCAGCCGCCACGGCTTGCGCTCTGGGTGCCTCCTGTGGCCCCAACGACAGCAATGAGGAGTGAGTCCAGGGACAGTGAAGACGGTGACGATACCGCTCTCACGGACTTTTGCGTCATGTTAGACCCATACGGTGACGAGTACAACCCCGTAAGGGAGAATCGTGTTCTCCCTGCGGGGGTGCTCTCTCACCACACGTTGGGGTTAGTAGTGTTGATGAATCTTTTGACGATCGTCTCATGGATGTTTTTTCTGTGTTTCGTACAGCTTTCGATGGAATTTCTCGTACAGCTTTCGATAGAATTTCTCGTGGAGATTTTTCGTGTAGTATTAGATCTGGATTTTGGAGTTTCAGATGGTGAGTTTGGTCCGGATGACGCTGTCTCTGACTTGGAGGACGTTTTTATGGACGATACTGGCCCCCTTGTTGTGCCCCTGGTGGGTGCCGGTGACACTTCCACCCACCTTGTGGATGCTGTCGCCGTCCCCATGGATATTCATTTTGGCGCCCGACGCTCGCCACCCCCGCCGCCGACACTCCGAGTGAATGGGAAGCGTCGACGTCTCAACGACGTGGACGATGCTGACGCACGCAAGCTGGCCGAGCTCCTGTTGCTCGTGGATGAGGACGAGGCTGGGAATCCTCAATCGGCGCTCCAGGCTACCCGCAGTTAGCGCTTTGCCGGCCTCGATCCTCTCTGATTTCGCGCAAACACGCAACGTTTTCAGTGCACGTTGTGCTCGTACACGGCCACCAGCTTTGCGTCGCTGAAGCGCCATTGTGGCTCTCGGCACCGCCGCATAAACTTTGTGGACAAGTTCTCTGCGGGTTGTGCGTGTGGTCTGCCTTTCGCATCGCGTCTGGCAGCGACGAACCACGCAAACGTGTGCCAGCCGATCGAGCACAACATCGGGAGCGGCTCAAACATTGGACAGGGCATCAAGCCTGACTGGCGTTGAAGCGTAAGCCACCATCTCTGCGGCTGCCATTGCCACGCCTTTCCCGATCAACCCCTCGGAGTCCATAGAGCCTCCCTGCTTGTAGGCTTCTCTGCTTTTTTTTACAGGTTCAAGATCGTGATGAAGATGATGGTGCTGTTTTGTCGTTCCCTCCGAGGTTACGTGATCCGGTAGTGTTGGAAGTTGCGGCGAATTTGAAGATACTTTCTGCGTCACGCTGAGGGCTCCCACTTCTCCGACAAGTCGTCGCTTCGCGGATTGCAGCTCGTCTGCTCCCGGTGACTGCCGCCGTGAACCCCCCGCCGCCGGATATGATGATGAATGATTCCGTCGAGTGATTTCTCCGTTTTGATGGCGCCTGTCGCGCAAATCCAGGTCTGGCAGTGCTGGTGCGGCGCTATTCAAGCCCAGTGGCCCCGTCGTGTGGAAGGGGTCCCACTTCATGCCGAGCAGCGCTAAGACAAAGACACGTCAGATTACGCGGCGTTACTGCTCGGTGTGCAGGCGTCCGCGGACCACGGCGTGACGAAGTTACGGGTGGAAGGTGACAGCGCCCTGGTCATTCGCCAAGTTCATGGAATTTTTGCGACGCTCAGCGCTCGGTTGCGGTGTCTGCAGAACGCGGTGAAGGTTGAGATTGCGCGAGTTGGTAGCGCTGCCTTCTCCAAATCGATTTCCAGGCAAATAGCCATGCAGATCGGCTTACCAACGAGGCCCTCGATCGGCGGCGTTCGGAATTTATTTGTGGAATGCATCTTGATGGCACCGGTTGCACTCGTGATCCAATTGGTGGCGAGGGTTTACAGCGATATCGATGTTTCTATGGATTCTGCCTTGTTGCCTCTTACCATCCTGTCGATCTTGACGATGAGGAGGTTAAGGCCTATGACCATGGTGGCAATGAGAGTTTTCAACTCTTGTACATATGCTGCAATATCACGCTTGCCTTGGCGACACGCTAAAAACCGCGACCGATTACGGTGTGCTTGGTTTGGCGCCAAGTCATCTGAACTTTCAGATCGGCCAATGTGAGAAATGCATCTTGCCTTAATGCACCACATGTGAATGCCCACTGTTTGGCTAAGCCATCTAACTTGCCCGTGGCAAAGCCCACACGGTCGGTACGGTTCATAGGTGATGTCGGCTATAAACATAGCCGACTCGACCTGTCAGAACCAAAGCATAAGGTATCACCTTTGGGCATTAAAATCCAGGCAGGATTAACCCTCCTATGGGCAAGAAGCAAATACATATAGAGTACATGACCGTGACGAGCGATGTGACATGGGCATAGCAGGATTGTCTCGTACGAACTCAGCTCTGAAGATGTGATTCGTACGTGTATGGCAGCAAGTGTTCTTAGAAAAGGACGACCTTAAGGAGGAGAACGTCGATACTAGCATACGGTGAACTATCTACGATTGATTTCGTTTGCAATCAAGGCGTGCAGTCCCCTCCTGGAATTTTATACATATTTTACAGATATAGAATAGATCTGTTAGAGGATACAGCGTGCTAAAAGCGAACGATACGTAGAATTTTCTATTTTTTTGCCGTCGAACTTATCGACTTCCATTTGTATTGGCTTTGGTCTGCGGACCACTTCTTGCGCCATAGTCGCCATGGGCGAACGCGCATAAGAAGGCATCTGTGCGTTTACATGCTCGACTAGAGCTTTGTTATATTCAGCAAGCATATGAATACGCTTGTTAACCTCTTCTTCGCCCTGGGTGATGAGGTACTCCACGCCCTTAGGACCAATGATTGGTAGCAGCTTCTGAAACCCTTCCTGTTGTGCCTGTAACAGGCCAGCCGCTGACGTCTCTTCGATGTCCATTCTCACACAGAGAAGTAGTCGCAAACCCGGTGCGGCATTGACTACGAGTGCTACCAGGTGTAGCCGAGCTACTGTAGCTACGCTACTTATGCACTATGTGCAGAAGAAGTAGTCAGACTACTGTAGCAAAGCTACGTATGCACTATGTGCAGAGGAAGACAAGATCCGAGAGCTTCTACGTCTTAGGGTGTTTAACCCTCCTAGGCTAGCTCGTAAGCTTGTGCCTATCGATATTAACAACCGAGTCTCAGAGAGACTATTATCGACGATACAATTCCTATACGGAATAGAACGTTCTATCAACTAGTGCTATACAGAGCAGGTTTGAAACTGATTTATATTTATGTTTATCTTCTAACACTAAATATAGAAGCACCTACTATATACTTATTGCTAGTCACTATTTACTTGCTCTAGTCTTTTATTATTATGCAAATATGCATAGTCACTATACTTTAAATAAGTATAGTGACCACGTGGCTCTCTGCCACGATGCGACCCTTCGTACTTCAGGTACGGTCACATCACCTACTTTTGTACCCAAGGTACAGTTAGACCACATTGGTGTGGCAGGTGTGTATGTAAAATACACACCTTCGTGTAACCCCGTTACATTCTTGATATTTCCACTAATCGGCATATATATTAAGTCGTATTACGCATTAGAACACTAACCGGTTCCTCGCGTAGGCAGATACAAGGCTACGTGCGGTGTGGTTTTCCTACAGTTGTCGTATGAATTGAACTCATGTGCAAACGAAATCAAATCAACCAGCACTGCACGCATGCTAACCTACTCTGTAAATGTGAACTTTTTGTAATCCACCTACAAACAATTATCAAGGATAAATGCATACCAGTGCACAGGGGTGAGCTTTTTTTCTTGTATTCACTTAAACAGCTCCGCTTTCTTTGCAAACGTCTGATCTAATTTTAACACCGCTTTTACATCTGCCGTGTGTCACTTTCTTAGCACTTAGATCAGTATTGATGCTCTCTAGTGCAATCACTTTTCGAAGCTACCTCTTCTTAATGCTTCATTAACAAGATGCTCCTGTTGCTTCACTCATTCTTCTTATGTACATAGCTGCCTGCTTTGCCATGTTTTGATAAACACTTTAACAGCGGTGAATATCTTTTTCTACTTTGATCATTTCATGATTATAAAACAATTGCCTTGCATGTGGTTTTGCTAGTGTTTACTTTTCACCCAGTTCCATTGATTGTCTTTATATGGGTAATGCATTAGATTAGTGGTATCGTCCCACTCAGAATACCAGCACCTTAGTCAATTCCGACTGGTCTACCATTAAGATCGAAGAATATTGTCTCAAAAGCTAGACGGTGTCAATTAGCGTTCAGCTTATGTGTCAGCATATGTGATGAACCAGAAAAAACATTAGTCTGACAAGTCGCACGAGTTTATTAGTGAATGTTATAGTTGATATACCATCCTACAATGTCACCATGTACCACCCATGTCAGCGACTGAAGTGCTGGCGTGTAGATACACGCAAATCATTATGCTCATCCAACACGCCATCAAGAGCATCTGACGCTAAAGCTTTGGTTTGCCTGCAATTGCCATTGTTTGAGTTGTATCATCTTTAATGGTACGCTTCCTTATCAGTTAGGTCCGTGTTGGAGCCTTCACTGGCAAATGCACTTCCACTAATGCTGTTGAGCAAGTAAGCTCCACTGATGTTGCTTGAGCAGAGGTTTGCTGTAGAGGTCGATATTGTGCTGCTAGCCGACCCGTATGCTCGTTGTGTTGCCTACATGAAACATACAGCCACGATTCTGTCAAATGGACCACAAACCAGTTTATGATCCTAGTTTTTGCGTACCTGATATTGATACCCCGAAAGCATTGGAATGACATCTTCCTGGCAGGGTTGACGTGGTGTAATACCACGAATAGGCGCGTAAGCATAATTGGGCGTCGAGGGCTTATCACGTTGGTTGTTCGAACAGTAGCTACCGCCAAACAAAGAAGCGGATGCCGAGGTTGCAGATGACGAGCGAATACGTTGGCGATGGGATGACGAATCCTTGTCCTGGCGCGTGAAAACAAGTAGTAGCGCACTGGGAACGAACTCAGTCAACAAATGAATGGTGAATTCGTGCGTGATGTGGTGAATACCTAAAGGAGTGCGATCCTGCGACTCCTCCGATTCCATATAGCCAGTGCCTATGCCGATCAAATATACCGCTTTCACAGTGAACAAAACGCAGAACAGGATGCAGACAGCCGTGATCTGGTGACCACATTATCAACGTCAACATTGATCATAAGTCTGCAGTTAGTGTACATGTTACAGTCTACTGGTTACAAGTGGCAGCACCTACCCTTCGAAGTACAAGTTGTCGGGGAGAAACAGCCGAGACGGAGAGTGACGACACTTCCTGGCGTCCTGTAATACCGTTGCCATTTCTAATTGCCGCTGACGACAAGTCAAAGAAGAAATCTTCATCGGGGCTTTGCTTACGAAAGAAATTAATGAGCTGGATGCTATAATACAGGATCACAAATAGTCCCACAAAGTAGACACATCCTTGCAACAAGTCACAGCCTTTCCAAAGTCCCGCTGATGTGGTCGTCAACCCACACAGCAGCACAAAGCCAACATAGAGGAGCAGATTAAACAGAAAAAAGACTCTTCTTGGCCATGGATATGCTTTGCCCCAACAGGCATAGCACAGCTGTGCCCAAAAGAGCAGCACGAGGCTGTTCATGGATGCAAACAACATGGACGGTAGCCACAGGAACAGTGCCAATAGTCTGCAATATACGGATGTTGACGGAAGAGCTGTCATTGTCTCCAACATCACCACTTCTGTGACCAGAGAACAGACACGAAGTGTTGATGCCATAAAGAGCAAGAGAAAGAATCTCTGTCTCATTTCAAAGCCAGTAGAAGCTGCTGCTGCTCCCTCTTCTTCCATCAAAGCGGACTCAGAGCCGCCTACGACATTCACAGAAGCAACAGGAGCTTCAGGTACAGAAGAATAGGGTATTTTATCTGCTGGGGTGACTCCTTCAAGAGTCTCAATTGGAGAAGCCAAAGAAAGAGTGTAAGGTAGACGTTTACATTGAAGTACGTATTGATGAGACAGGACACGTCCGGATACAATACTTAGTGATAGAAAGAAGAAGATTGTCAAAAGCAATAACACTCGAGCAGCGAGACTCAGTAGTACTTGGGAATTATTGGTTGATCCAACCTCAAACGTCACTAACATGTTTCTTTACGAAAATATCAAGAAGAAAAAGAGGAAATTAGAAATCGTATGAATCGATTTAAGAAATAGACACGATAGAAAGACGAGACGATAGAAATACAAGGAAGAGAAATAGTAATGACCATGATGATGATAAGATGAAAAAAAGGCAGAATGCCAAATTAGAGTAAACAAGGAGAGATAGTGTATGTTGCTTACCTTGTTATTAGGACCGACTGTTTCACTATTCTGTTATTGACTTATTCTTACTAATTAAAGATAGTAAATGTTTGAAAACGTGTGGTTCACATGAATAACGCTCGCAATATTTTCATATGCTTCGACGTCATGAGTCCTAGATATAAATCAAATGTCTCGATACTCTTCCTTCTGTACTAAATGGCGCATTAACTTCAACATACGTCGCTTCAGTGTCACGGATTTTAATCAATTTCTCTCTTGTATTCGTTTGAATATACAACAGTCACGTTCACCTGCTAACGTTTACGAACTTTTGGGTAATGAAACGGCCAACGCCGACTCTATCGTCAATCGCTTTTACCCATACTCAACTGCACTGTACGTGCCTGTTTTACCCATCTACCGTAACGAACTGCTTGACGTCACTGCCCTATTTTAGGCTTTGTAGGTCAACACTGATGGTCTCTCGTGTTTGTGGCCGAGGTTTCCCATGGGACATCATCAAACCCAAAGCAAAGGTTACATAACTGGATCACGATACTTGGCATGATAAGAGAACTTCATCAGTTGATGAAGTGCAGGTCGTGTAGATGATAGATTATCACTGACCTGAGCGAGCACATGGACTCTTGAGAAGAGAGAAATAGTCTTTGCTGATGGTAATCTCTTATCGCTAGTATATGTGGCAGAAAGATTGAAGGAGGTAGCATACACATAAAGCACAAAGGATGCTGTCGACGATGTTGCTTTGGGTGATTGCACTAGAGAGCATCAATACTGATCTAAGTGCTAAGAAAGTGACACACGGCAGATGTAAAAGCGGTGTTAAAATTAGATCAGACTTTTGCAAAGAAAGCGGAGCTGTTTAAGTGAATACAAGAAAAAAAGCTCACCCCTGTGCACTGGTATGCATTTATCCTTGATAATTGTTTGTAGGTGGATTACAAAAAGTTCACATTTACAGAGTAGGTTAGCATGCGTGCAGTGCTGGTTGATTTGATTTCGTTTGCACATGAGTTCAATTCTTACGACAACTGTAGGAAAACCACACCGCACGTAGCCTTGTATCTGCCTACGCGAGGAACCGGTTAGTGTTCTAATGCGTAATACGACTTAATATATATGCCGATTAGTGGAAATATCAAGAATGTAACGGGGTTACACGAAGGTGTGTATTTTACATACACACCTGCCACACCAATGTGGTCTAACTGTACCTTGGGTACAAAAGTAGGTGATGTGACCGTACCTGAAGTACGAAGGGTCGCATCGTGGCAGAGAGCCACGTGGTCACTATACTTATTTAAAGTATAGTGACTATGCATATTTGCATAATAATAAAAGACTAGAGCAAGTAAATAGTGACTAGCAATAAGTATATAGTAGGTGCTTCTATATTTAGTGTTAGAAGATAAACATAAATATAAATCAGTTTCAAACCTGCTCTGTATAGCACTAGTTGATAGAACGTTCTATTCCGTATAGGAATTGTATCGTCGATAATAGTCTCTCTGAGACTCGGTTGTTAATATCGATAGGCACAAGCTTACGAGCTAGCCTAGGAGGGTTAAACACCCTAAGACGTAGAAGCTCTCGGATCTTGTCTTCCTCTGCACATAGTGCATACGTAGCTTTGCTACAGTAGTCTGACTACTTCTTCTGCACATAGTGCATAAGTAGCGTAGCTACAGTAGCTCGGCTACACCTGGTAGCACTCGTAGTCAATGCCGCACCGGGTTTGCGACTACTTCTCTGTGTGAGAATGGACATCGAAGAGACGTCAGCGGCTGGCCTGTTACAGGCACAACAGGAAGGGTTTCAGAAGCTGCTACCAATCATTGGTCCTAAGGGCGTGGAGTACCTCATCACCCAGGGCGAAGAAGAGGTTAACAAGCGTATTCATATGCTTGCTGAATATAACAAAGCTCTAGTCGAGCATGTAAACGCACAGATGCCTTCTTATGCGCGTTCGCCCATGGCGACTATGGCGCAAGAAGTGGTCCGCAGACCAAAGCCAATACAAATGGAAGTCGATAAGTTCGACGGCAAAAAAATAGAAAATTCTACGTATCGTTCGCTTTTAGCACGCTGTATCCTCTAACAGATCTATTCTATATCTGTAAAATATGTATAAAATTCCAGGAGGGGACTGCACGCCTTGATTGCAAACGAAATCAATCGTAGATAGTTCACCGTATGCTAGTATCGACGTTCTCCTCCTTAAGGTCGTCCTTTTCTAAGAACACTTGCTGCCATACACGTACGAATCACATCTTCAGAGCTGAGTTCGTACGAGACAATCCTGCTATGCCCATGTCACATCGCTCGTCACGGTCATGTACTCTATATGTATTTGCTTCTTGCCCATAGGAGGGTTAATCCTGCCTGGATTTTAATGCCCAAAGGTGATACCTTATGCTTTGGTTCTGACAGGTCGAGTCGGCTATGTTTATAGCCGACATCACCTATGAACCGTACCGACCGTGTGGGCTTTGCCACGGGCAAGTTAAATGGCTTAGCCAAACAGTGGGCATTCACATGTGGTGCATTAAGGCAAGATGCATTTCTCACATTGGCCGATCTGAAAGTTCAGATGACTTGGCGCCAAACCAAGCACACCGTAATCGGTCGCGGTTTTTAGCGTGTCGCCAAGGCAAGCGTAATATTGCGGCATATGTTCAAGAGTTGAGAACACTCATTGTTGCCATGGTCATAGAACCTATGCCTGAGGCAGTGACCGTCACGGTCTTCATGGAGGGCCTCCGAGTTGGCGTTGCCAAAACGAAAGTCTTCCGGGTAAAGCCGTCCTCATTCGGGGTGTGCCTTCACAGTCCAATGATGGCGATCCAAACTTTTCGCCTGTGGAGTCAGCCGGGGATGTCCCTGTGGAGCGCTGGCGCCGCCGCCGTGGTCGCAAGAAGGAAAGGAAACAGCGTCGGCATCCTCGCTAACCCGGCACGCGTAGTGGTGGCACCCGACAACGCAAGAGGAAACTTCCGCTCCCCCCGCAGATGGCCACACACCACCGAGACCACCGAATGAATGAGGCGTTGGACGAACTTCATGTCCTGGAGAGTTCTCGGCCCCACGATAGTCCGGCGATTAACAAAGCACGCAGGCGGGTTGGTCGAATCCGCTCAGCCCTACTCAGCACGCTCTGCGGCACAAATTTGACACCGACGAGAAGCCGTGTGTGGAGGGAGTTTTATCCGCAGCCCGTGTTACTCGTGAACAACGGGCGGAGCCTCCCGTGACTGCTACTGCTTCCTCTCCGTCGGTGACTCCAGTGACGGGGGTTGATGATGAACTCTGTCCAATTTTCAGCGATGAACTGGAGGTTCTTTGATGGGGTAGCCACGCCTCGGCACCCTTTCAATGCTGAGACCCCGTCTGGCGCGGTATTTCGAGACGCAATGGGACGTCTGCCTGTTGCGACGCAGCTTTTAGAGCTGCTGACAGGTCCGCCAACGGCTGGAGATATCGAAGACCAACTGCAGCATGCGCGCGGCGCTTCCAGTTCTGATCTCGATGGAGTTGGCTACGGTATTTAGCAGCGTTTTTCTTGCCAGCTACTTTCTGTTCTCACGGCAACATTTACATGCTGCTGGAAACACAAAATGGTCCTACAGAGTTGGAAGCTGGGTTTGGTTTCGCTGGAACACAAGAAAGGTGCGCGGGACGACCCGGCCAATTGGAGACCCATTTGCCTCCAGCAGACAATTTACAAGCTGTATACAGGGGTTATGGCGCGGCGGCTGGCGCGGTGGTTGGATGCAAACGATCGCCACGCACCCGGCCAAAAGGGTTTTCGTGCGGTCAATGGATGCGAGGAACACAATTTTCTCGCAGCCACGCTGATTGACAGTGCTCGCCGCAAGCACTGCCCGCTCTACGAAGTGTGGTACGACTTTCGTAATGCGTTTGGAAGTGTACCTCTTTCGTTATTATGGGATGTCCTGGCTCGGACGGGTGTACCGGTGGAATATATTACGATGTGCCAAGGCTTTCACTCCATTGCGGCTTTTGTGGTTGGGAATGCTGTGGATGGTTCGACGGCGCTGATTCAACAGCGTGTTGGTGTTTTTCAGGGGTGTCCACTGATCCCGCACCGGTTCTCCGCGGCAATCAGTCCCCTATTGCACGCACTGGATCGGCTGCAGACATCCGGGGTCCAGCTTTCCAGTAATGATCGCCCTAGGGAAACGGCTCACGCCGACGACCTGAAAATTTTTCCGATTCGAAGGATGGAATTGTGGAGCAGCATGGATTGGTGTTTCGTTTCTTACATTGGACTGGCATGGCGGCCAACCCGCCAAATGTCGCAGTATGGGTGTACGGCGCACTGCACACGGCTCCACAGAGTCCGACGACCTCAGTTTGTCGCTCGATAACATCCCAATCCCTACTATGACGCTTTCGCAGTCGTATACATATTTGAGGATTGGGGACGGTTTTGATCATGTACAACGGAGCTTGGACGTGCTACCACTCCTCAAGTTGCTTAAGCAAGATGCGACGGCACTGATGTAATCGGTCTGGCGCCTTGGCAAGTGTTGAAGGCGGTCAAGGTATACTTATACCCCCGTGTGGAACATGCACTTCGGCATTTGCGGCCAGACGATCAGCACTTGGAGCGTTTTGACGTCCACCTTTGCCGTGGGCTTTGCCACTTACTCCGGCTGCCAAGAACGCGAATAATGATTTTTTCTACGCGCCGATTTTTCATGGAGGTTTGGGTCTTACGACTCTGGTGGAGTACCATGCCGCGCTGCAGATTGCACATGAGTGGCAGATGCCCCACTCTGCTGACCCGGCGGTGC